TGTTTTAATGTCAGTAAGAGTAACACTCCCTCCCGCCTCACCCAGGCGGTAGAACACATTCAATGATTTCCCCCCTTAAAAAGAGGGATGTTACATCAATCTTTTACTTAGTTATTTTTACCAAGACGTAATAGTCAGTCAAAGGCCGGTCGTGGGCCGCAATCTATAGTGAAAACTCAGATTTTATTCGTCCCAATAATTCCATGATAAATATTCAGGTGTTGGCGGGATTGCCAACACTACGGCGTGACTAAGTGTTGTACAAATCCGCGGCCGACGGTGATGCGTATCTATTATTGTTACAATTGTGTTCGTTGGTGTCGTGTGTAGCGGGCTTTATTCTGGAATAGATTTGCTTACAATTCGGAGACGAGTAATCACGTTGACATTCATACTGTTTCACATTTTTTGGAAAACTATTGAAACGCAGAAAGGTAAACTTCTTCATATACCTATAATGTGATAAATTTTTCTTTTAAAAATTCATGTTCTCATTGAACTCGTATAAACGGAAGCTTGGGTAAACAGAAATAAAGTCTTGATTGTTAACGGAAAATTTGCTCTAATGTTTACTCGATACGTAACATAAATATTTATTTACTGTTAAATACAGTTCGTCACAACATCTGTACACCTAGAAATGCATCTCAAATGTGAATCAACTAGTCTTCAATCCATACTTGGCTAATTCTCAAAAAATATAAATCTTTTAAAAATATCTGAATTAAAACTATCAAACTCAAAATGACAAGAGTGCAGGAATAAAATAAATCATTCTCATTTAACAATTAATTAACTAAAGCGAGCTTTGGCAGTAAGCCGGGAATTCTTCGAAACAAAATAATTCCGTGCGAAAATAAAATTCGCAAGTTTAATATTAAATGTAGACAGAAATACAAGTCTAGGATAAAATACAGATAACATTACAAACTTCAAGTATTTCTGTACAAATAAAAAAAACTGCTATTCTACTTACAGTTAGTCTATTTTTTAGTGTCCAATTTAAAATTAGAATTTTTTTTTTCATTTCGTATAAGATTGACATAATGACGGACTATAAATACGGCACACGTTCCGCGTCGCTAGTGATGGGACAGATGCTGTCATATTGTTATTGTTTATTTATAATGTCATATTGTAAATATTACATTATTATAACATATAATTTGTATAAAAAATAAAATGTAATGTCTGTTATAAATTAACCGTGTTATATAGAAAGGACAGAATCAAATGCATGCATAAATAAAGAAATACACGCCACGTCCGTTAGTTTTAACAAGATATCTTTATATCCGTACCGTACATTCATCTTTTGAATAAGTATAATACGTGGGAATATTCTTGTAAAAACCGATTCTCAGTAACTTTGGGAGGTATTTGAACTGCTGAGGACAATGATGCCATGGGGAAAACTCGCCACAAATAGAACACAATACAAATAATTAATATGACATAGTCAAAAATAATTAATAGTTCGGAAGGCTCATTGTAATTAAAAAACGCCCACATGTCAAATTAGTCATAAAAGCTATTGAGGTAATGATCTGTTGTTTCTATTATCGATTTGATGGCACGCGACTTAAATGGTAGGATGGAGTTTCCGGCTTTAGAGTTCAAGGCCAAGCAGATGTGTCATAAAATAATACGTGTTACGTATACAACGCTTGAGTAAATAAACTTAAATACAAGTTACATCATTATTTGGGAATAATTTTGATTATCTGGTATCTGATTTACACATGAAATTCATTACACCAAGTGGGTGTTTTGTAGAATACGTACAGGTTGTCTGGACTTGTTTCTCTACCTACGCTTCTTAAATAGAATGTTGTATTCGACTTCGCAAGAAGTAAATGATATCCACATTAGTTAAACCCATAAAAATATTTGCCAATCAAGGAGAACTTTATGAAACAGTTGGAATATTCCAACAATTTTGTTCATTGGCATATAAAATAACTTCTTCCCTTGTATGGATTATCCTATTACAAATGATTCACTATTACTAATTCAGTTTGGACAAGCACCGAGTATTTGCATAAATAAGCAGTTTGTTTAAATACTTATGTGTGAACCTCACCTTCTTATATGTTCAAGAATAAATATTTGTATAACATCCAATGCAGTGTTACGATAATGGTTACTGACTGGTCATTAAGTACACTAATTTAATAAATCTACATAAATTGTTTGCATCTGGCTGTACGTGATTAAAATGCAATTTCAATTTATTAATTTACAATATTTTATGTGCGGTAAAATCCGATAGAAATAACAAAGGGAAAATTACTTATTTGTAATTATAATATTAATCATGCATTTTACATAAAACGATATTAATATCTATAAACTACTTTTAATTACAAATAATAATTAATATGTCATAAAATAAATCCAATTGTAAAATAATTATATGCACGCATAATACGCACGGCACATCACTATCGCGAGGTCGGATCTGAGTATACAATGCATCCCACGCGCGGACTATTTCAGAATTCAGATTTAAGAGTGGCATGCATCCACGGAGGGATGCAGAAGGTCAGGATGTAAGGGTATGATGGACGGATTGCAATAGGGTAGATGACTAATTTTTATTTCAATGTCCGTTTGGTACATTATTTTAAAATATTACACACGTATTTTTATTTTTTTACGGGAACGAATAGTTTCGAATATGTATTGATTTGAAATTTCACTTCTATGTACATTTTATACGTAGAAATGACATTTTAGCCCCCACTCCTAAACGTTGATTCGTTATATCTAAGTATCATTTTATTATACAACAAAATAAAAAAATACGTGTCTTATATTTTTTCATTACCAACTGACAGACTAATTAGATTCTTAATTTTCAAACCCTGTCATCATCCCTATTCTGTTATGACATTACGATTGTTTATTTCAGCATTTTTTTTTTCTTAAAAATAACGTTGGTTCACATTAGGATTTTCTCATGTGTCGTGGGTGCGTTTACAACGATACAAGTTCACATACACATGACACCCAGACCCGAAATAACAATTTGTGGATCACATAAAGTGGATCACACAAAGTGTTGTTCCGTGCGGGAATCGAACCCGCGACACGTTGCACGTCAGTCGGTTGCCCAGCCACCGCACCAACCGTGCAGTCACAGTTCAGTATTCATACCTACATAAAAACTAAACTGCTATTGGTGAAAGCGCGGTGCATAAATAAATTCAGTGTTGCTAAGGAAATACTATCAATGGTAGATTATACAAAATAAATAAAATATGAGTCGTACCTTTACCTAATTACAAGACGTATCCTTGTGGTTTTACGTATGAATATGAACTTCTAAATAAATATAATATTTTTGGTTAAAATTTCCATTTATAATACGGTTACTCATATATTCATATCGCATGACATAACATAATTAACCATTAATGCAAATAATAGGTAAAGTCAAGGAAAAAAACAATTCGGATTACGTAAAATTATTTTAAAGCAAAATTAAATTTATTTATTTATTTAAACTGTCAAACACCGCGAGGACACTGGTGACCGCAACCTATTGTTCTTTAATTGTGGCTATAATGACGGTACTCAAAGGTTAACCCTTTGAGTACAGTAAGGTAAATGTTGGTTTACCATAATATGTAAACAGAAGCTATTGAGCTTCTGTATACATAGTATTAAGAGATAATAAAGGTAACAATAGGTATTGGGCTTATACAGTCGCCAATTATAGGTTAACCAACTTTACAAATTTACTGTTTACTGCTTTTAACCCACTTAAAAAACAAGGAGGTTCTCAGTTTGGCATGAACGTGAAAATGTATGTTTGTGCGGTCCGATCTTGTATGCGGTTTTCGGAAAAGTGTTTGTTACACTTAGGAGGTTTTAGTATATTAGTAAACCGATTTCAAAAGGAGATTGAAGATGGGATTGAGGTCGGTTTTTGAAACGAATAGTTTATGAAAGAATTATTTATTATTATCATTAGTTTAAAATTTTTCCTGCTTGTAATTATCAAAATAAATAATTTTAATAATTTAGTTATACATAATATTCGAGGGGGTAGGCAGAGGTGTACATTACAGCACTTAATGCCACTGTACCATGTATCACCCACTTTTCACTATTCATGTTATGAGTCCCATGTTATAGGGAGTGAATCCATTTCCATATACAATTCCACACTCCGCACAATTCCAGACTCCGTGCTACAACTGAGATTTTTTGAAAAAAAACCAGTAATACTTTGCCCGACCCGGGAATCGAACCCGAGACCCCTTTCCCCGGTAGAGCACTTGCGACCACTCGGCCAACGAGGCATTCATCAGTCAGTAATTTAGTTATAATTTAATCAAATTATATTAGTTTAGTTGAGTCCGTTGGTTTCATAAATTGTGTGGATACATAATGTTTCACCTTTCTACAGTTCAGTGAATAAATTTTGTAAGATTTAGGGTTGTAGCCAGGCGTGGGAGGGCGTGGCGGTCACTACGAGAATGTAAAAATATATATACGTCTAAATAAAACTGCGAGGAGATTTATATTTTGATTCTATGTAGCACACACATGTTTGTGGACGAGAATGCATGAGATTATGTAATTTGAACAGCTTTTGTTTTGCGTTTATTCAGTACAAAAGTGTATAAAAGAATTTTTAGCTATTATGAACGAATGGTACTTTTTTTCGGAGTGGGGATAATCATCCAATGACTTCTCTCACCCGGGTGAGGCGAGAGGGAGTGTCAGACTGTTACTGAATAAAAAACTGCTCCGTTCCTGCTCCTGCACTTCGAGCCGGAGCCCTGGGCAACCCGTTGACCCAACGTCCTCCTTAGTACCTCGTAGAGGTTTCTTTCATGCGAACTATTGTAGCTGTTTCTAACACACAACCATTTCGTTAGATAACAATAGATTTCTACTAAAAACAAGACGATTCAATAAGCTATAATCTACTTAGAACTTTATTAGCCATGAAAATAAACTAAAAATAGCAACGAAACACAAACAAGATGACTATAGGTCGAATATTAACCTACATAGTAAGTAGCATAGTATATTATTTACAGTTGAACACTGAAAAGACTTTTGTGCATCATAAATACCTTGAAACAAATTTTCTACTAGCGGTTTAGAATTTCTCTCGACTAGATCATAACCTTACAGGAACCACACTAATATTATAAATGTGAAAGCTTCTAAGTTTGGATGTTTGTCCGTCAATCACGCTGAAACTACTGAACTAATAAAACTTGCGAAGTCGGTTGCACAAGTGACAGATTTAACTTTTTTTATTATAGTATAGATAAAACAGAGCACAGTACATAAACTATAGAGATACATGCAGTGATGCATGAATTAGTAAACTATTATTTGGATATAATCTATAACATGAAGGATGATTTTGATGAAATTTGGTATATAGGTAGGGTATGAGCTGGCTTAGGTCTGGGGTCGCGGGCAACAGCTAGTTAGAAATAAAAAGTACTTTAAATTAGCTACCACGGATGGGGCCTAGTAGGGCTGATACCTGATACTCGAAGAGCAGGAGCAGGAATGAGGTGGTTTTTAGTCAGTAAGAGTCTAACACTCCCTCTCGCCTCACCCAGAGCGGGAGAAGTCATTGGACGTTTCCCCCCTCAAAAGATTTTCAGTAGGTTTAAAGCTTATAAAATTCAAACTAATACCATTTAGTAACTACCTATGAATTGTGGTCTTACATTATAATCGTATTATTGCGGTATATGATGTAATAATAAGAAATTGAAAAACAATGGACGGTATTAACATTTTGACTGGAGTAGGTACGTCAAACGACAATAGAGACCACAACATGATGGGGGTAAACAGTAACAATCCCTTTTTCCATTTCCTTATTCAAATAGAGTTAGGTACTAAAATTACATAACAATAAATGTATATAAGTATGTACCTATTCCACTTTATCCTGACAATATTGAATAATGCAAATATAGTGCAGTCATTCATAAGTTACGTGTAGGTATATACCAACGCAACAAGATTTAATTTTCAACCTTATTAATTTGCAATGACGTCAAAAATTCATTAAATAATATTGGTGTAGCTTAATCTGCTGCCAACCAATACATTCTTTCAGTGATTCATGTTCATTTAATTATAATTTCGATACAAAAATGACAAACATTCGTTACACCTTGTCACCACGTGCGTAAATCAGTTTATTAGATCATCGTTGTAATATGAACAAATACAGCTAACATATTGTACACAGGCTGTCTAATCAAAGTGTCGATATAATGATAGTGTGTGTTAATCTTGTTATATGTATAAACATTAACACGAATATTACTTAACCATGTTTTCTTTAACCATGTTGATGAAGTTTTCGGTATCGTAAGAAAAGAAAAATAGGAAGTCTAGACTTCTACTGAGGGACCAAACTGAGTATTAGAAATGAAGGTCCTAGGATTTTGTAGTAGTGGACGGACAGAGAAATAATATTAGTCATCATCCTTATTTTTATTTCTATAACCCACGTTCAGTGATTATTATTATGACATAACTAAAAGACAAATTAATAACAGTTACCTATTATTCTTTACCATTCACGGGATCGTAGGATCCCGGTCATTTGGGTGGCGTACGAGGGGCCGAAGCTAACTACGCAGAGGCCTTTAGACAACTTTAATCTAAATGTAATGGACACACAAACCGGTGACTACAGGAGTATGCACTATGGAAATGCACCCAAGAACAGTCCCCGGTTAGTGTAGAACTATTGTCTATTATTCTTATCATTATGCTAAACTTATCACCTATTTTCTTCCATATTTTTATTATCATTGCCATAAGTGTCGGCTATATATACCAATAAATATTACAGCAAATATTGCATTATGTGAAACAAATAATCCTCATGAAGTATTTTATCTGAAGTGAAGTGTTTGATTTATTAATACGGTTAATCGGTTAGATCAACGGCTTATATGAGTTTGTGGCGTAATTTTACGCTTCATTGATTGACATTAGTTATTGATTTGTTCAACAATTCTTCACTACATATATGTAGTATAAAACAAAGTCGCTATCCGCCGTCTGTCGGTCCCTATGTATGCTTAGATCTTTAAAACTACGCACCGGATTTTGATGCGGTTTTTAAATACATAGAGTGATTCTTAAGGAAGGTTTATGTGTATAATACATGCATATTGCACCCGTGCGAAGCCTGGGCGGGTCGTTAGTATACTAATAAGTTATCTTAAGATGTCACTGATTAACAATAATGGAACAATGATTACTTGTACCTAATAACACCTATCAACTAGTAATTATTAACATGATCTCATCTTATACAGTCCCTTCTTGCGATAAAGAGTACATCATTATCTATTAATAAATTTAAAAAACAAAGCTGACAGGAAAGTTCACAAATAATCAACGAAGAACATTAAACTGTGAAAACACCGCGAAGACACCGGTGACCGCAACCTATTGTTCTTTAATTGTGTCTATAATGACGGTACTCAAAGGGTTAAATAACTAGACCAAACTATCTGAATAACAAACCAATAAAAGTCAAAGAATTTAGTTCTATTAGTCCTAAATTAGGCACTTCGAAACGTTAAAAATTGAATTATCCGTCTGTCTTTCTGTCAGTGAAGAAACTCCAGCGTTACTTAAAAAAAAATGTTTCTAGCATCAAGCTATACACAATTTAAGGGTATAGAGAACCATGAACCTCAATACAAATACAAAAACGACTACACACATCAAGACATCTACTAAAACTATCCCTAATTAACCCATTGTATGCATTACTTACACAACATAGTCCAAATATCAAAACCAATACGTGTCGGTTTTCTTTCATACCAAATCGAGAAGTAATTCAAACGTGTCCTTACTGCTTAATAGTGGCTCTCCAGACGCAAATAGATGGCCACCAGGGAAGGGAACAAAAGAAATTGTGGTACGTATATAGACGTCCTAAATACCGCGATACTGTGAAACGCCTTGGCCTTGTGCGCCCTACATCAGTACTGGAATGATGTGTGGTGTAAGTGAAGAGAAATTGGCGAAGAAAAAAAAATTTGGAGTAAAATTGAAGAGGATCATAGATAAGGCTTTTTTATGGGACAAAATGCATAATTTTGGAATGGTTATGGAAATCACTATACAGTTACATGGCTTTTTTCACAATTTCAAATTCATGAAGAGTTTTTAATACATATAACTAGAAATTCTAATCATTTAAAAATATTAAAAAAATAAAAACCAAGATGATATAAGGTATTTACAAAATTCAAAATGACATTAAATAAGGAACATAATTTATAAGTTATAACTTATAACTTTCGTGAGACATACTATGTTATTACATAAAATAATTATTATGTTTTTCGGCTTACTCGCGTAATTTGCGTATAATTAATTATACACGAGGCATATAGTTATGAGCCTCTAGCATGTCTTGAAACTAGTCGAGTTTCTCATCAAATAATTACGTTAGTCAACCGAAAAACATAATAATTAAGGAACACAAGTATTAAAAAGTCTTACAACAGACGATACAATCCCAAAGCATCACAAATATTAAACATTCATTCGCTATCAGTTTGAAACTTACACGGCAATAGTTCGTATTATTCCTTGTCCCAAACTGGCTAGTGACATACTGACGTGACATTGTATCTGGAGTTTATGTAAGTACTGGCAGTCTGGCATGCCTGGCAGACATTTGTTTTGACAAAGGACCCACTCTAGCATTGTTCTTTGACTGACTATTAGCAGCTGGTCTAGATGTAATGTAATTTTCAGGTGCGTAGGATGACAGCTGTCCTTAGGTTTGATTTTATGTGAAGACATTGTTAAGTATGTACTTAGTATGTTGAATTCGAAGAGTTATTAACGAATATTGAGCGACTGTGTATGTAGCCAAAATCATTAAACTCATTAAACTGTTTGAAAGATTCATTCAACTTATTATAACACAATTCTATAGCTGGTTGCTACTATCGTCGGTGCTTATTGTAAAAAAAATATACAATTATGAATTTCTACGTATAAAATTCCAACTATTATTTTCCAATAATAACAACGAGCGCCAATAGAAAACCACCATCAAAACAAGTTCAATCAAGTCACCGTCCATTGACAATGACCATGAATTACTCGGAGCTTCAAGAATTCCAAACACGGTATTGTTCGCGTTCATTACATAACTGACTTTAACTCTGACAAATATGAGTAATAATGAATATATGACGTGCCACAACTAGACTCGCCCACTTCTTCCCGTTACTTGTTTATTAGACAAACTTGTTATAAAGGCAATTTGATGACACCGCGAAAAATTATCAAAATTGCCCTTAAATGGAGCCAGCCAATAAAGATAGATTAACCCATAAGAGTTATCTCGCTACTAATCGTTGAACAAAAAGGATTTTCGTGTACTTTTATAATTGGGGTCGATTAAATAAATTTGTTTGTATCTGTAAGATAACGGATAAACAAAATGATTGCGATCAACTTTACATAACAAAATTTTAAAGAGTGCATGAAGAAAGCTCTTTCCTAATGAGAACAGATGAAGTAATTTAATTTAGCCAGCCACAAAATTTGCATTAACAATATGACATCGGCACAAATAATGACAAAGATAAAAATAAAATCCTAAAATAAAAGTGAACGCACCACAGCAAAAAATAAAAAAAGTAAATATCTATTCTTATTTTAAAAATCATTGTTATTCTTTCTTCGTGTTCATTAGAATAAAGTTTGTGTTGCCAGTTGCATTATTATCTCATTTCATTCTATATTTAAATCGGAGAAATAAAAATCACAACGGATACGTCGTCGCTTTGCATCGAGGTACGTGTAATGGCGCCGATGCCCAAATAGGGACAATACGAGTTGGGGCGACTCAACGACTGTATTTTTTTATTCAATGGATTATAGTGTGATGTCATAACTTAAAATTAATCAAACGGTATCCTAGTTATCTGTAGTTATCTGTTTGAACGTTCAAGGCGATTGCTAGGCACTTTATTTGTTTTATAATGAGACAAACACGTAGGTTATGTATGGACACGTATATTTTAAATAAAGCACTAACTAGGAATTCCAGTCAAGAGAATATTAATGACTGGAATTACGGTGTTTATTTCAAATAATTTTCCTTAATGGAAAAATTGTCTGCATTAGCTGCGATTTACCTGTTCTGCAGTATAAGTTTCTTAGAGTAGTTTAATTATAACTTAACACTTATCTGTTATCTGTAAAAACTAACGATAGTATTTTTTTGTTACAGTCGACCAAAGTAGAAGCCCCTGCTGTCTGCAACAGCTGCAACTCAGTGATCAATGGAAGGGTAAGTTTTGACATAGCATAATAGAACATAAAAAGAGCATAATAATTCATAATCCAAGCAGCAATATAAGCTTAAACTGAACTCCCACGAGGTACTTACAGAGCACTAAAAGAATCAAGAGACCTAGGTATAGATAGTAACTATGAGTACATTAAAGACGTTGTGCACTCGGCACTGTTTCTTCCAGAAGTCTCTATAGCTACTTAACCTCATGACGTTGTTCGTAATGATTGTATATCAGTGATAACTTCAGATATGGCTCGATAGTGTTACGTGTTTCATGTCAAATTATTGCAGGCTATTATTTTGGGAATTGATTAATTTTTTGGCATTGTCTTCCTAAGAACTGTGTGTGGTATTAATGAAAGATAAAGGACGTGGTTGAGTAATTTCATTTCTAAACAAACTTTAGAGATAAAGATTAAGAAACGAACGATTACAGCCAACATAGAAGCAGTCGTCGAATGTACTAAAACAGAGACTTTGAACAATGATTAAGTAGTTACAACTGCAGAGAAAACCATACAGATTGTTCTATTAAATATTTCAAGAGCATATGAGCCCAACAGAGCTAACAGTAAAAGTAAATAAACTGAACAATGGATAGAACATAGTGTTTGTAGGAAGATTGCGGTCAGCGCGGTCAAGGCGGGCGGGATGCCTCCTCCATACGGTAATTAGTTGGCAGACACAACACTTGTGGACCTGATGATAGATGAAGTTGATGAGGAAAATACCGAAATCGTCATGTCTAAACTTAAAATTATGATCAAATGGGAAACTTTAAAGAAATTTCAAATTAGTATCAAGTTGATGAAAAAGAAGGAGAACCCTAAAGTCTTGCCTACTGGAGAGGATAAATAAACGGTTAATTTTAGTAAACAAATAGGAGTAGGACAACAAGATACACAAAATGTCTCTCCATCCATTAGTAAATTATGTAAAAAGATAAGATTACCATCTCTGTTAAATATCAGACCACTCGGCGAAAGTGTGGAATTCTAAAAAATCGCAATCTTATGGAGATCGATAAAAATACACGAGCCACGTGGTCGTAGCTGGAGCTAAAATAGATACGTGTTACGTAACAAAGGTAAACAAAACGCGTTGTACTTACGAATATTTAGAAATAGATGGGAAAAGCACGTGTTTTCACATTTCAGTAGAGAATTAAATGTTCAATACATAATTTAGTTAATCGTCTAACGCTAATGTTATTCCAGTTGGTATTTAACGACTTCCGATCAATACAAATTGTTAGTTTTAAAATTAACAAGAAATAGTTGGAAATTCTTAGATAATGCTTACGTAGACGATCGAGATGAGGAAAACAATGAGAAGATTTACAATACGAACAATAAGGTATTAATTTATCCAAATTGAAAGGACTAACAGTAAAAAGATAGGTAATGAACAACATGGACATGCATGACTTGGAAATGACAAGTGGTGAAGAAGAGAAAATTTAACTCTAGAGGTCCCTTGACAGGTCAAAAAAAAAAATTGCTACGAAAGCACCAAAAACGGTTTGGAAGGTAGCATCTTCAGTTTCATACAGAATCCACTGAGCCGAGCAATTAATAAGTACCAGTTTTATGGAGAATCTCAAAAAATAGTGAGCTATGAGGAAGCTGCGGTTAACCCGAGGATCTTATGCCATGAGACCACAACGTTAAACTTCTCAAAGATAATAGGTATTAACGTATATTATGGGATATTTAAGATTTAAAATGTTTTTAATAATACTACATATTTTATTTCATTAGTGTTGCTACAGTTTTAGCTGCTTGCAAAAAGAATGTGATGTAATATAAGGGTTTAAGTAAGTGCAGTGTAATAAAATGCTCAGATTAACTACAAAAGTAAATTTTGGAAAATTGGTGTGCTTTGAAGATATAATATACAGTTCACCTGCGAAAGAGGTTTGTAAGAATCATACCAATTGGCGTTCCATAAGGAATCTCAGCCTATCCCAATGGGAGACAGGCGTAGGGTTATGTGTATATGTTGCCACATAGATGCCAGGGTAGAATTTTATTTTCATAATTCAGATGCATGTAACTACGTAGGTTTTTTAATAAAACCTAATTTAGCCGGATGGTCAGTCCAGTGATAACTTTAATCAGGAGATAGCACCCACAGTAACAATTATTGCAAAGATAAAAACTTGGGAAGCCGACCGTAAAAATAACATGTCGCCAATATTAAAAGCTCTATATTTGTCCTGCAGATAGTTACGGCGCTAAACAAGAAGTGGCACCCTGAACACTTCACCTGCAACACATGCCGCAAGCCCATTGATGGCGCCAAGTTCCACCAGCACGATGGTGGTGTCCACTGCGTGCCATGCTTCGCCGCCCACCATAGTCCCAGATGCCATGGGTGCGGCGAGCCCATCACTGACGTGAGTATCTCCTTACTACATTTCATTTTTAGCACAATTTACTACAACTTTACTCTTGTTGTTAATATTTATTTTAAGATGTTGCATGACATCACTGGTACAATTAGTTTAGGTAGGTTCAAAAGGCAATTACACATGCTATATGTATTCATAATCGTTATTTATCTTAATTATTTTCAAATTAAAACTGATAATATCAGCCACCACACTCAAAGGCACATAAAAAATGACAGCACAGTCAATTCTCCATTTAGATATCCAGACAAAACAACCATTACAAGTCCTAGCAAACAATTCCGCGATGGAGAACAATTAAGATCAACACGATTACATCATGGCTCACCACTTCACACGTCTCTTGCATAATAAAACCAATCAATTAATCTAGAAACAGCAATACAGCTTTATCTAGAAGCCAACGACCGTATAAAATAAGTTAAGACCTCTGAATTCCCAGTGGGAGATGAGTGGCAGGAGTGACGTCATGGTGGCCATATTGAGGTAGTTAGTAAGTCAGGAGGCTCGCCCACGACCAGCTAATATAGAAATGGGCGAAGTAATCCACTTTGAAGCTGTTAAAATATGAAAAGTGAGGCTAATGACTCAATTTGTATGGGTTTGTTGTGCCATTGTATACAAGCAGGTGATTCACGAGTATCTTTTGGTGTGAATTATTCACGATCATCGTATTGCCTTATTGAGTGTTCAGACTCCCCTACATGTCTGACATGACTTTTGGCACGTGGGCTTGTGTATGCTTTGTACAACATGATAACATGAAGTTTTTATGTAGCATTGAACGTTACAGTTAATTTTAGAATGCAAATACTAGAAACTGTATTTTTTTTTAATATTATGCAGTATACCTACTTAGTTATCGAATATAAATAAATTTCATCGCAATCGATAGATAACTATTCAAAATGCTTCGATAAGGTAAACTACAAATATTATTATTTTTTGTTATCAATACCCATGTCAATGTAAATAAGTCCATAGATAGTCCAAGGCCGGGGATTAGATCTAAGTATTTTATAACAGATCGGCGTGGTGACTCATTCTATGATGTTTACAACTTCGGTTATCAACATCGCTTGGCGTTGCGTAAGGCCTAATTGGTTTTTAATAGTTTTGTTATATTTTGTGTATCTTGTTATAATAGTTGCGATGTGGAAACCAATTTGTTTGCACTGAGGTTAGGTCTAAAGTATGCTTTGATGCTTTCTGCCTCGCACAGCAAAACTGTGGAATGATCTGTCGTCGGCGGTATTTCCCAACCGATACGACCTTCAAACCTTCAAGAAAAGAGCGTATTCCTTTTTAGAAGGCCGGCAACACACCTGTGACTCCTCTGGTGTTGCGGGTGTCCATGGGCGGCGCTGATCGCTAACCATCAGATGATCCGTCTGTTTGTTTGCCGCCTATTCCATAAAAAAAATATGATCCAGTCTGTATGAGTATAGAGGTAGATAGATGTTAAGGCAGAATATGTACATGTACCTATATAGATGGATTCTGTAGCCATAAAGAAGAATGTACAGATTGTACAGGTGTGAATTTGCCTATGTATTTGCCTAATATATGTCATAGTGTGTTTAAACTAAAGATTAGGTGTAGTTAATCATTGTGGTTAGTATGTCACCACATAATTTATTCGCCAAACACCGCTACTGACTCTTTGTCAAATAGTTTATTAGAATTTAGTTGATTTGTGGTTTCTATCATTTTCCGATTTACTTTTTCACTCTTGCTGACTTCACCTTTAGTTGTGATTCCGAGAAAAGGTTTTGAAATGATTATTCATAATTACGTGTGCGTTAATGTTTGTTATCTCTTAATGTATGGGGAAGTTGCCTGCATCAACATTACTAATTAATTTGAATAAATTATTCAGGCCAATATTGAAATTTGTAATTAAGACGATCTTTACAAGCTGACACCTTTAACAGGTGCACTGAGAAATTATGTACAATTTTCATATATCAACATAGGAGAACGGTTTAACGCGTTGATTTTCTAACTTATACTTGCAACAAGGAAAAATATTAACACAATTTTCAATAGAATGATAGATGATGGAACACAAGTGTTAACATAATTAAAATCATATTGTTATTTCATCTTATTTTAACTGACTGACACTATTCTAATGTCAATTCAGGTGAGTGACTTCTGTATACGGCAGACGGCAGTGAGGTTGTAAAGACTCACAGTGACCTTGGCCGAGCGGGCATCGTAAGTGCAGTGTCTTGCACTAGGTCACGTCCACACATAACATGGAACACGTGACTACGATATATTGCACCGAACGCCGCGTCAAAGTCTGTCCGTACTATCCAATTTTAAAGCTTCTTAGTTCCAAGAATATGATAAAAGATGTTGGTCTTCCTTATAGTATTTCGACTTGGGTTTTTCATGCTCTAAACAGCGTAACTGTAGGTTTTTGTGGATCATTAAACTTTTGTGATAGATAGTTTTAATGCAGTACAATGCTATCAAAATTAGGTATTGGAAAAAAGATTGAATGATCTACAACGTCCTACATTTTACTAATACATTTTTGGAGTTAGCAGTTTAGCACAGAATCTTAACCAGCTTAGGCTAAATGTATCTTTTTCTTATGTCAAGAATCAGACGTAAAAGTTAAAGGACTCCGGGTCGTGTGAGATTGTACACCGGGGAGTGATTTTTAGTCAGTAAGATTCTGACAGTCCCTTTTGTCTTCCCCAGGCGAGGAGGCTACAAAAGGATTACCCATCTTGAGGTCAAAAAAAGAGGGATTAACGAAAGAGAATAGACATAATTACAATAACAGAGGACCCATAGATACTGTACTCGAACACACGATCATGTTCATTACTTAATACTCTATGTACATAATGTAATGTCCTCTCAAGTATCAAGTAATTACTTATAAAGCCACAAACACACCTAGTTTACTTTGCAAATTAGATAATAGAGGGCCATCATCACTAGCAAGTGGGTAATGATGCAATCTACTTGTACTTTGCACACAAATTAATTGATTTTAATGCTACAAGAACTCACTTGATAGCTTTATAGTGTATTTATTGAGCTTTTAATTAGAGTGTGAATCATAATTTAACATAACGTCTTGTTAATCTCCAAAGGGATAGACAGAGGTTCATTTATGGAATTTAACACCTAATTTTCGATAGCTATGTTAACTCTGAGTTCTATATAATAAGACGTTTGCTGGCACCAGGTATGATTCCATAATACGTGATGTATAATTTTCCTACCTACAGATTTCTTTTTTATCGCCGAAAAATCTGCAACAAAGCTTTGCTTGGAGGAATCTTATTGGAACCTTTTGCTAAGCAGTTCCATTTAAGATCACTTGTCACTTGACCAACGATAACACAGCAGTTTGTGAATCAGAATGTGATAATATTGTGTTTAAGTGGAACAATGGTATAAGTAGTAGAGGTTAATAGTCCAGTTCAATAGATATCCTAATACATTTGCGGTATGACATCATTAATTTGTAGTATTGGCACTACATTGTACGCACACTAAGCTACGTAGGTAGTTATCTGGAATGCCTTCATTCTTGTAGTAATAGCTAACGATCAAAATCCTACTGACATCACAAATGATGACAGTTTTATTAGAGAAAGGTGTGATAAGGATTGAAAAAGGAATGTTACGCTGGTTTGGACATGTAGAAAGAATGGATGAAAATAGAGTAACGAAAGAAGTATACAGAGCGGATATGAATGGGGCCGTCGGTAGAGAGCGTCCTAGGCGGACATATACTGACTAGATTGGATTATATTAAAGAAGGGCCAAATTAAAAATACCTTTAACGATGAGCATGCGTGAAAAGATTGAGGACTGTTGATGAAGCGAAAGAGGTATGTAGGAATCGTAGTAATTGACGTTCTAGTCTCTGCCAACTCCCATGGGAGACAGGCTTGAAGTTATGTATGTATGTAGGTAGGTATCAAAAATACGACAATAAAATCTATTTAACTGATCTAATGAATGTTTGTCACTAGAATACCACATAGATACTTTTAATCTTGGGCGTAGCAGCAGAAGCAAGAACCAAGTCATGTGAAGACATATGTCCAAGAGTAAATTATCTCATTTTGGTAAATTTGGTCTGATGCTAAAGGAAATTTGGTAACTGCACAGATACTGTATCGGTTTAGGTGACTTCCTGCATTTTGACGAGTGCATTGATAACTGTATCACAGAGTTTCCGAATAGCAACAAATTGCTATGCAGAAATTAAGTCAATATTAACGGTTTAAATGCTGTAGGTATATTCAGACATTTTTGAACACGCATTGGAGTCATTCAATTATATTCCCCCCTTAAAAAATATCCCCTATTACCTATATTTAGTTTTTGTTTTATTAAGAAAGCGTAGATTTCTGCACAGGAAAGTGATAATGATAACGACAATCAAGTAAATTAACTCTTTAATACTGCTTCGTTGGCCGAGTGGTCGCAAGTGCAACTGCCGGGCAACGGGGCTCGGGTTCGATTGCCGGGTTAGGAAAAGCATTACTAGGTTTAAAAAAAATCTCATTAGTAACATGGAGTCTGAATTGTACCCGTTATATGGCAATAGGCTCATCGCTGTTACATGGGACTCAAAACATAAATAGTGAAAAGTGGGTGTTACATTGTACAGGGGCATTAAGTGCCGTAATGTGCACCTCAGCCTATACCTTCGGGGATAAAAGGCGTGATGATATTATCTCTTTAAAATTTTGATTATAGCGGGAAATCTTAGGTCTAAAGACATTATAATTAAAACATTAACTAAGATAGATCATCATACTGTAAAGATAACAGAGATGTAACAAGTCTCATTAGACTTCATAAAGGTTTTATTGGTGCAAGATTCCACATGCGGTCATAAAGTCACGTGTGATATTAATTTGCATAGTTTTATCGTAAGTTACGCTACTGACCTTTAAAAAGGATGACAGCATACCTTTTTAGAGTACCTAGTGTTACTTAACCCGTAAGGTCTTACGAATGGTACATTTTGGTAGTGTGTCTTTAAACAGAGGTGCCACCGTCAGATGCCTATGGCACATAGCCAATAGGAAGGCTGGTCTGACCTTTTGGAAGGACTCTTGTAATTTATATTCTGTGTACTCCTGTCATTATTGGTTGACGATGTCGTGTCGCTTCCTGGGTCTACGGTATATCTATATTATGATTAATGGAGATATTATTATTTAATATTCTTGCAAATTGTAGATAGTTCTTTGCACTAGTAATAGCTATAATGGCTAGACTAAATAAGTCGTCCGCATCGCCTGACTAGGCAAATTACTGATTTCCAGTTTACACCTACATCTATGGAATATGATAAATACTGTCATCTATCATGCATTTCTTATTATTCTCTAATACGTCGTCATACCCCAAAACAATGATTACTGCGAAATTCTCATTAAGTACGTAGTTCTATATAAGTATATCTTTATCTTTATAATAGTGTGACGCGAAGATAAAGGTTGTATGATTCACAGTGGTCAGGGTGTTCCGCGTAGCCTTACATGGTGCGCTCTGAGTAGCGAAAGTATTCAAATATTATTTGTCATCTTATGTCTACCACCCACAGTGGTCTTCTACAGAATATGGGGAATGACTGTAGCAAGATGAGTAAGCCAGGTTTAGATATACAGGTTGGGAAGGGTTTGATCTATTTTTCGTCATATTATGATAGTGTTGACCAGTTTTTCTTCTCTTAATCTCAATCAATATCTTCAGATTTATTTCGTTGCGGGAACCAAGACAGTTATTTATGTTCCTGAGACGCTTCAGTGTTTCGGAGTTATGATGGTTGTATCTACTGTAGATCATGGCTTACAAGAGTTGCAGGGCTTGTCCCATTAAAAAAAATGTAGACTAGGATAGGTTTAATAAACTAGATGGTGTTAACGAAGACCAGATTCGTATTGTAATGTCTTTAGTTTAAATATTGTGGGCCAAAATTGATCGAAATGAAAGTTCATTACGAAATGCGTAATACACAAAATGTATTATTTCTATAAACAGGAATAACAGCAGAATTGTAGTAAAAACTATTAGAAACAATTCAAAAAACAGAATATACAAATTTAAATAAAACGATGACATTATTTATGTCATCGTTAGTAAAGTACAGGTAGTGATTCCCCGTACAAACAAATTAGTATTAAAAGATAAAGAGTGGTTTCAATTGAAACAATCTGATACAAATTATCGACGCATCACGATCAGTAACAATGTACCAGTCACTTCCGCAGGTCACTGCGCCACGTAATTACATGTATAAAAACATAATCCGCCTTCAGAACAAGTCGGTAAAAACTGATAGTTCGTAAATGTTACGTGGGTCATTGTTTTTTGCTGGTTCGAGCAGTGTTTATTAATTATCATTAAAGATCGTTTTAAATTGGTAGGATAATTTATAGAGGGGTTATTTGTTAGGTACATAACATCACGCCCTTTTATCCCCAAAGGGGTAGGCATAGGTGCACATTACGGCATTTAATGTCACTGTACAATGTAACACCCACTTTTCACTATTTATGTTACGAGTCCCATGTAATAAGGTATTAGCCTATTGTCATATATCGGGCGCAATTCCAGACTCCGTGCTACTACTGAAACATTTTAAAATCCCAGTAATACTTTGCCCAACCCGGGAATCGCCTCAACGAGGCAGTCAGCAGTTTTATAAAGTTATTAATACCTAATACGAGGTTTTGAATTTGATTTCAAGTCCTGTAGTATAGTTGGTTTTTCCTGCATTTCTACTTACTAACTGTTTCGCAATAAGCTCGCTATTACAATAACAGTATCTAATGATATGATTGTCGATGAATCGCATGTATTTTAAGTAGATACACCGTTATTCAAACCGAAACCGGTTATAGGTACCTACTATATTTGCTTACTTTTTATAAAGGTACAGTAATGGGAATGTAAATGTAATAAGTTACTTTTAACAAAAACCTTCTGCATCTTCCGCATATGCAACATCTGTACTTCATCATATAAATCTTAGACACAGAAAATAATAAAGCGATATTGCCACAAAACAAGGAATTCTAGCTATCATCATCATAATAAATATAATAATGATTGTTCCCTATGCCCTATTTTCCGTATGTCATAGTAAGTGTAACTTTAGTACTAATTCAAAATGTGTTCTTATTATTTCAGCGCGTGATCCAAGCTCTGGGAGTGTCGTGGCACGCTCACCACTTCGTCTGCGGAGGATGCAAGAAGGAGCTCGGTGGCGGTGGTTTCATGGAACAGGTGATTTACTTGTAGTCTTACAAGTACTACGGCTTATCCACGAATCTGTTCGAGAATGTTACTCGACCAATTTCAAGTTAGAGGGTATATGTATGTCATAGTCATGAGCAATCCAAATGGCTAGTTGATGACTTAGTGTCTAACGATGGTTATTAAACAAAACTGGTCTAGTACGACGAATAAGACCACGAAATTGTATATCACCCATATTGGATAATGACAATCAGATAGCAATTATGTGCACAGAATATTAATCCTTGTCCGTATTCATTTAAGAGCACATATTAAATTTCCTAGCCCAAGTCTAGCAATAACAATTTCAATTCTACCTTCCAGGCTGGCAGACCATACTGCTCAGCATGCTATGCTGACAAGTTCGCAGCCCGCTGCAACGGGTGTGGCAGCCCCATCACCGACAAGGCCATCATCGCGCTGGACGCTAAGTGGCACCGTGATTGCTTCACTTGCATGGTAAATTAGCTACTGGATTATTTTACTAAGAATTAGGTATAAAAGGAAATGGAGAATGTCTTCTGGGAAAGTATAATAGAGGGTAGCTTAGTGCAAATTGATCTTTTATAGGTCCCTTAAAAACCAAAGATATTTCAGAGAACTTTGAAGGACCTAGAACTAACAATTAAGTTAATAAACATAAGGACTAAGAAGTGCTACAAGTTCGTAGGTTTAAAAAGTTGTTCCAACAATTTCCTAAAGAAGAAACTAAATATTAGAGCGTAAAGAGTAAAATCCGCTGAGGTCACATTAAATAGGATTTTTTAGAAAAGCCCATAATTAACAGTATTTAATTTCTCTATTCCAGAAATGCAGAAACCCAGTGACAGACGCCACTTTCTCTGTCATGGACAACAAACCACTTTGCGGCAAATGCGCCTAAACGCACACATTGACATCAAACGCACACACTATTATATTTACCACACACCCATCGAGTAGCCAGGAGTATGGAACCGACTACCGTAGCTTATCGATACGTTTGCTTCTCAAAGATCGGAAGATTTAAAAAGGGAACATTTTTGTTTAACAATTATATCGATTTTATATTTAAATCGATTTTAAAATCCGTAATAAGGCAACGTCTATCTATCATAGGTACAATTTATTCTTTGAATATCTTGGCATGATTCATTTTACAAGCAATGTTTCAACAAGTTTACGATCTTTTAGAATGCAAACATTAGAATGCTAAAATAAATAATAATAAATTAGTTTTACGATGTTACAAAGATTACAAAAGGATACAGCAGTTATATGACAGTATTTTTAAGTAATTACATTTTGTTTCTTAAAGAATATATTAAGGGATGTATGTTCAAGTCATGCTGAACAACTTTTACGACGTAAAGTGTTGTTGTAGCATTTTCCGATGAAGTGTCATCGCGGCCATATTGTGACAAGCAGTGCCATCTAGTGGCATACACTTAAACAAGCAATGGTCGCTATTTATTACACGTTAGTTGCGCTATGGCTGCACATACTATGCTACTTTAAATATAAGTTTTAAACGTTAATTTAAACTTTGAAAATTGTTGTAAATAATCGTAATTAAATTATAAAAAAGTCACTGTGATGCTTTTGGGCTTTCGATTGTATTTATTCAATTTATTCATTTCTTATAATATTTACACAATTTAAAGATGTTAAAATGAGCTAGATTATATTTTATACGCTTTCCCAAAATGGTTATTTTTTTCCAATAAATTATTTTGTTTTTGACAACATTCGTATTTTATTCACACCTCTACAAATTAGTATGCCTGGCTGTAGTATATTCAAAATTGATTGTTTTTCTTTGTGTGTGTACTTAGTATTTAAAAATTAACTTACCTTACTCCTATCCTTCTTGTCACTCGACGGCTCCCTTTGTGGTGCGGGTGACGCCTCTTTATCAGTTTTGCTGCATTCTCCATACTTGGCAGGGTCCTCGCCATCTCTCTTTGGAGAACCATGTAGTTTTAGCCCAGGGACTAATCGAGGAGTATCAGGGAAACCCTGTAACGGCTGTAACTGTAAAGCAATATTTGCTGTAATTTATATACAAGAAATCTCTTCAAATTGTAGGCAAATTAAATTTTTTTACCTTTTAAATCAAGTATCAGACTTTCATCAAGTACTACGTATTCAAAAAGAGAAGATCCTTAACAGAGATTGTGACACTGACCTTTTTCTTCTCATTCGGATCCACTGGATGCCTACTCGGCGACTTCTTTATAGACTGTTCTCTGGCACTTTGCTTCGTCTCTTCAAGTTCCAAGTTCTTCTTCATGGCGCACTGTATCTTGCAGACTGGGGTCATCATGTCTACAGATTCAAGGTCGGTTCTTGTCCCACTAGCGGCCTCTTTCACTGTGGTGGTGAAGTTAAGAGGACGCTTCGGTTTCTCCTCTGGACGTTTTTTGATCCTCGGCGATGGCTGGACCTTGGGTCTTTGGCGGTAACAGATTTGGAAAATAGACAGTGTTTATTAATATAGTAAAAGAATACAAAGAACCAACGGAAAGGATGCTAGGTGTTCGTATTTATTACAAATAGTTCAAAGGTTATCTGATTAATCTGTCTTTCTTAGACTGTTTTATAATAAGGATCTCTGTTACAACTTACATTCTATATATAGTTGTAAAAAAGTAATATCTTACTTATGCGGATCATGCGTATTGCGCGGCGTATGATACGGCGGGCCGGCGTGGTTCACTCGTGGAGTGTGACGTGCTTGCAACGCCAGTGGCGTGTGAGGCGTACGAGGCGTGAGGGGCATAAGAGGACCAAATGGCGAGTTAGGTCTTAGCGGTGATGCAGCTCTGAGTGGTGAGTGACTTCTAAGTGGTGATGGGCTTCTGAGTGGTGAGTATGTTCTAAGTGGAGTGAGTGGCCCCAGTGGAGTGAGCGTGCAGGGTGTATGCATGGGCCGGCGCGGGGTGCCAGCCTTCCGTCGCAGGCAGCCCTGCACTGTGCCCAAAGGACGAGGACTCGCCTCGCGACTAATGTGGCTCGATGCACACTGGAAACACCGAGATTTTCTTCAGAATGCTTACTATTAGATACCTACATATCCTTACGTTATTTGCAAATTATAGAAATGATCTACTAGTTATAGTATTGAATCAAATATGACTCACTGTTTCAACAGCTTCGACCATAGTGCGTATATCGTTTTCGCGAATTGGCTTTGGTGCTCTTGGTCGTCCAGCATGAGGGTCGCGCATGAGTGGCCGACGGGACCTACTACACATACATTACTACATAAACATAAAACTGAAAATTTCACAGTTGGAAGTCTATCAATACATTTTCGGATATCGTGGATATCATGACAAAATGATAAAAGCAATTATAAATAATAATCAGTAATTATAAATGAAGACATGGTAGTCTTTAATATACGGGTTTTCAAGGCATCATTGATTGAAGTTATTGCAAAGAAATACAAATTATTTAAAGAAAAACAATAATCAATTACTTTTTAAGGCCCTTGGCTGTCTCTGCGGGTTTTTCGCTTTGAGTTTGACCACGCTTGCAGTTGGGAGGGGCTGGTTCTTTAGCGACACGATTTTTAACCGTGCTGTATAAAAATGAAGAAAATTAATAACACAAACATAACATAACATCACGCCTTTTATCTCCGAAGGGGTAGGCAGAGGTGCTCATTACGGCACTTAATGCCACTGTACAATGTAACGATCACTTTTCACTATTTATGTTCCCACAATCATGAGTCTCATGGAATAGGGGGTGACCTTATTGCCATATACCGGGAACAATTCCAGACTCCGTGCTACCACTGAAAATATTTCGAAAAAAATCCAGTAATACTTTGCCCGACTTGGATATCGAACTTGAGACCCCTTGCCGCCAGTCGCACTTGCAACCACTCGGCCAAGGAGGCAGTCAAATCGAGAAAATTAATATTAAAGTTAAACTTCAAAAACCTTTTTTAAAGTACTGTCAGGTAATGATACGAGCTAGAATATTATAAAACATACAAATACCATTGAAATGTAAAACTAATTAGACATTGCCTTAATTAACGAAAAACATGTACAATCGGTCTATGTCAATGAGAATCCCTAGAAAAATTCTTAAATGATATTAGGTACCTGGGTTGGTTATCCTTTAAGCTCGTAGACTTGGGATGTAAGTTCAGTCGCAGAGTATCCAAGGAATACATCGATAGTCGAGCTTCGGTGTCTGGAAGGAAAAGGGGTGAATGTATCTTTATAGGGTATTTTCGGTTCGTCTTAGATGAGGGACTTTGTTCCAGGAACAATTGCCAAGGTTAAGTAACTATTAAATCTGAATATGGCGGTAATACCCGAATACTAAATAGCTACTCAATTTATAGTTATACTTGAATATCGTGCCGTCTCTGTCATTTTACAAAGAATTTGTAGTGACAGAACTACACTTAGGCACGACTTATTTTTTTTTATATTTTACTTAAAAGCCCCTCAATACTCGGCCGTAAGTAACTTAGTAGGAGCTAAGAATGCAACTGTCAAATCACTTACCATTCTTCACTGAACTTTTGTTCCAATTTCCGATGCTCCGTTTCTTCATTTGCTTCTTTGGTGCCTTTCTTGTATTCGTATTCTGGGAGTTAAAATGAAAATGACATTACCTACTACTATATTGTTACTTTGTTTAATTTCATTTTAATCTGTCAAACACCAAGCGGTCACCGGTGACCGCGACCTATTGTTCTTTAATTGTGTCTATAAAACCGGTACTCGACGAGTTAAACTGACATCAAAAACGAGAGAGGTGCGAAGGACCTCAGTTTGCCCTGCATGTAATCACAAATACACATCATCTAATCTGGCACATGAGTCCAATTTTGATGTGGTGTTAATTGAATACTCTATTGATGGGGTTGAGTCGAAGTGTACATCATAAACACTTCATCCTCGGCTTGAGACAAGTAGCCTAGGATTTTTTAAATTCTCAAAATTACGTACAGCTTTTTTAACATCTTTAATATTAAGTAAAAGTTATCTAGAACAAAGTCTTACCACATTAACGAAACTGTTAAGAAACTCCTCACATCGGATTGCGTACTCGCCGACGAACTCGTCGACTTTATCGCACGTCATTATCAGGTCCTGATATAAAAAGAAACATTTGAACTTCCACCACACCTAGGGCGGGAGAAGTAATTGGATGATATACGCACTCAAAAAAAAATGGATAACATCAGCAATTTTTTCAAGTTACGCCTTACCTAGCTTCACCTAGCTTCACTGAAGGACTGACTGACAGACTATTATTTATTATGTATTTGTTGCCGTTTCAAAAATACCAAATTATGGTTTAATTGAAACAAATGCTTTGACTTTGACTTTATAGCAATAGCCACGACGATAGATATAGCAAAAACTGATTGCTATATTTAAGATGCGTGCTATGGGCGTCTCTGATCAATTTGAAAATTTTGGGGTTGATCTATATATAGCAGAGGACAGTTTGTGGCTGATATGGTAATGATTATGTTGATAAAAAAATATGTAAGGTGTGACATACATCCTTGTACAAGTCGAGGGCGGCAGTGAAGTCCTTGGGCGGCGGCACGTTGAGGCACATGTGCGTGGAGTCGCGCACGCACGCAATCAGTGAGCCCAGCGCACTCGCACTCTCGCGGACACAACACGTCTGTGATACTGATTTGTGGAACACCTGGATACGACACAAAACTTATTGTCATAGTAATATTGGAGAAAGAGTATGAGCCGAATTTAAGAGAGTTAAAGACAATGAATAAGAAACAACACTTAAATAGTGGTTTAGTTATGAAAAATGCATTTTTGGTCTAATTGCACCGTAATTTCCCTCTTTTCTTTAAACTAAAATATTCGTTATCATTCCGGCATAAAACTCACATTACGTATAATGAATACAAACCTGGAAAGACTGCAACATGTTCTGGTGCAGAGACACGATCCTAACCATCTGCGACTGGAACTGTGTGTGCTTTGCGAATGGCAACGAGACGCTGTTGTTGCGTTTGATGTCATGTACCTGTACAGAGACGTTTAGAAGACTATGAGCAAATTGAATTATTTACAGAATTTCAAAGCAAAGTGGAATTAATAATAATAATTTATTTATTTCTCTCATCATCATTTACATAATAAAATACAGCAAACGTTTTACAACTAAACCTGAGACTGGTGTCTATTGTAGGTGAAACCTTCCAGCAAAAGTCTACGAAGACAATTCAGTAATTCCAACAATAGTTTTAAACAGATTTACCTGTCGCTGCAGCTGATACATGTAGATCCTGTTGAAGCGGCCGCAGAACTCTGCAGATCTCTTCACCATGCGCATGATGTCATCCGGTTCTGAAGTGAGTATATCGCGACGATCTAGCGTAGTCCTATCCACGAATACAATACCTCTTTTAAGCATATTTTCTTTAGAGAAACAGTCTTTCTTTTTTTGGTTGACAGTATCATTTTGTAGTTTTAACTGTAATGACTATAGTACTTACATTAAAGATATTAGCTCTTCGTTAATCTTCATCCTAAGGTCCTTCACCTTGGCGCAGTAGATACTGCTCTCAATCATGTGCGTTACATTCTCAGATGACTTACCTGTAAGTATTAGAAATCACTGACGATGAACTCCTTCTACTGACATAGACACTTTGTAGAAGAAATAGGCAATGGATAATGACTAACTTGACGTTTTTTCAAGGGTGATATGTCTCTCCGTGGGCTGAGGGGAGTGTTCCACTTGATTATCTCTCACAGTCTCCGGGCTCATGGGTTCATTCAGGACTTCTTCTTCAAGTCCTGGTGGTGGTAATTGTTATGTTAGGATAAAACCAAAGCAATTAAAATAGCAAAATAATGGAAAGCTGAAGTAACGAAATATGATAAGACCTAATTCATCAGCAGGTGATGTGAACTGGTTAAATCCAGATGATGATAGACTGGTTAGACTTACCTGACTGGTCATCATCGAAGATGTGGAACATATCGCATTCGTCCTTTTCGATGTCGTCAGCGAAGGTGACCACACACGTGTGCTGGCCGTCGTCTCCAGAAGGATGGTTACCAGTACTGGGCTGTGGAAGCTCCTAAATCCGAAGTTTTTAGGTTGAATGTATGCAATATTTCAGAATACAATCAAAAACAGCTTCGAAGTAGGGGTTTATTGAAAATCTTCACCATGACTTGGATCAAATATTCCTTTTTAAAGGACTACTCTGGTGTTGTGGGTGTCTATGGGCGGCGCTGATCGCTTACTATCAGGTGATTCGTCTGCTTGTTTGTATCCTATTTCATAAAAAGTAAGAGTCGGTTTAGTTCGATTTCTCGCTATGCCTTGATGACGTAACCATATTGGTTTGTATATTACTGACCTTAACTTTTATCTCCTCGACAGATTTTGCTTTAGGTATTCTCTGGCGTTCGTTATCCATTATCTCCTTCAAACAGGATTCTGGCAACTGATCCAAAAACTGGTACGGGTCATCTATTTTAAAACAAAAGTAAGAAGGTACTAGTAGATTGATAAGTTTTCTTAATTCTATACTAGGAATAAATGCCAAGTATATCAAGCTACTATTGTTTTTCTTCAGTCAATTTTCAACTTTATCACAAAAACATAAAGTGACAAATCCAGTAAATAAATGCTTGATAGGTAGGTACATGCCGTTTAATGTGCTGCGGTATGTCTTTTTACTTCACAGAAAGCATTTTCCTAGCTTTTTGGGACATTTTAATTATCTTATCATACCAGTACAAACTCCTTTGACCACATCTTGTTCCTCCACGAATTTGTCCCATATTTTCTGTTCGCGCTGTTTCATTCGTTCCCTCCGGTTGCTTCGCCACGCCCTCTCTAACTCACCGCCTTCTATGAACTACAAGTTCAAGTTATAGTCAATAGATGGCGATCAATTCAAGTTTATATTAGAAAAAATAAAAATAATAATGAAAGTCAAGAAATTAGAACTGTTTTACTACTATGCTACATTTAAACATATTAAATATTTTAAAATGAAAATTACTTGATTTATTTTACTGAATATCACTCACAACATTGTAATGAGTGTTACCCTTCAATCACAGATGGCGCTGAGCTAAACATTAATACAACGTGAAAACGTTAAAATGCCCAAACAGCTGATTAGGTGAAAAAAGTGAAACTATCTCCACGAACGTTAATATAATTTACATAAAAAATGTGTACAAACCTGCAAGTCCACCATGTCAACTTTGTTTTCGGCCATAAAAGAAAATCCTCTCACACACGTCTCCATTTCAATTCCCTTTGTATAAGATTCACAATAAATAAGAGTATAAGCACCAAAATACGATATAATTGCCGGAAAAATCCTAAATATTTATACACTATTATTATTCGCCATTATTAACGTGTAAACATTTGAATTTGACAAATCAAAGCAACTGAGAAAAATGTCATGTCAACCCTAAGTATTTAATAATTTTAGGTACTCTTTGCTACAAACTCACTTCACGGGTCAATGCACTATAGTCATACGAAAGTCAACTAATAATTTATTGTTTTACGAAAGCACTTTAAAAATTATATCACAAACAAATAGTCCTCACCAATAACGTGGAACTTAAGTAATTATTTCAATAACTCCGTCAAAGTTATTTTAATTAAAGAATTAATTAAAACATTTCCAGAACCTCGTTATTTTGATTGCGTGATTGCTTTGCGCGCCATGATGTGGTGTGCGTTGCTAGGCAACGGTTTGTTTGTTTTATTAGCCAGAAAAAAACGTAGTTACGATAAAATATGTCGTGTAAACTCACATTACAATTCATTATTATTTCGTTATGAAAAGTATGCAATGTATATTTTGTTGTTGGCATATTAAAAAAAGTGAAATATTAAATAGAACTTATTTTTAATTCTTGTAGGTATGGAACAGACGTGTAGCGTGTTTTAGGTTATGTGCCTCTGACAGGTGTGAACTTTGATTGTTTTGTGAACCAAGTGATTAGTTTTGTGAGTGGGTGGGTGAGCAGTGGTGTCCGACAGTATGTTATTTAGCACGCGACCACCGCCCAGCATGGGGGCGCCTCCATTACCGGCTCCTCAGCCCGAGGCTCGGCACTTCCCGCAGTGGAGCAGGACGGCCATCCTCACACTAGCCAGTGTTGATCCTGAAGATGATGTTGTTGCTGAGGTGGGTTTAATTATAGAAATGAAGTATTTAATTAGTTTTTATAATTAGACGCCTATGTAAAAAGCGGAACCTTTGTGGAGCAAATTTGTGAACAGTCTTTTTTCCCGAGGGAGGCTTATTTAGGAAAAGTTATTAATTAACTTTTTTTATTGTACCTACCAAGGAGATTTCTAAACAGATGTGATGAAACCCGAAATTTGTAAAGGTACTGCATAAGCAATAGGTACTGCTTATGAGAGTCTCTCACCTACTTAATCCCAAAAGAATTTGCAGCAGCATCGGATCCCATGACGTATCACTCTGATGCTGTCTAATCTTATTTTTTCATCTTTTAGAAATTGTGACCTTAGTACTCAGTACCTAACCGAGGTCATAATACCTACCTACTTTATAGGTACTTATCTACTAAATTACTACCTATCTACTTGAACTTTTATTGCCCGTAAAGTGAATTGGAAGTAAGGTATAAATATTAATGGTTGATTTTAAAGGCTGTGAATAATCAATGGCTCCAATTTACCACGCTATCCGTTTGACCATCAAATGCCACATGCCATTAACGAGGATAGCTCATGTCGTAAATTCTTAGTAATATCGTTTCGAAGGTGAAATTACCCAGGCATGTGAAAAGGTCAGTGCAATTGATAGGTACTTGATTTTCTTCGATAAAGGTGAATAGAGACAGAAGAGGGGTGAATAGATATTGGAAAATTCTTCATAGTATTGATTCACCCCTTTTCTGTCCCTATTCACCTCCCAATCCCCATTCACCCCATTTTACCGTACGTAGATACTTAGGTATTTTAGGCTGCCTGTCCATTGACACGGAGAGGGGTAGCGGAGCGGAGCTAGAGAGTATTGCTGAGCGGAGTAATGGACTGTCAAACTTCAGCAGTTTACTATACTATCCCAATATCCCATACGCCCGTCCCGCTTCCGAGACCGCTTCCTCGCCGGCGGCTCCCTCGGCTGCCCCGCTCCACCGTCTGGCACCGCTACCACACGCCGCTTCCGAAAATGTATGAATTTTTAAACAAGCTCGCAAATCCCTTTCCACTAAAGCGGATCGGAGATTTCATGCAATCCTATTAGTTAATATTTCTTCGTCTTTCCGCTCTGCTGCCCCTCTCCGCGTCAATGGACAGGCAGCCTTAACAGCGCGCTTAGTCATCTTCACTGAAGAACTCTGTTTTATACTTCGACTCCTGCTTTAAATATAGGATTCAAAACATTTGCATGGGCTTGTTTTTGAACTCTCGTTCTTTTGAAGTCTATCTTTAGAGGATCGCTTCTTCTTTTTCGTCGGTATCTGTTCTATCATCATCATCACCATTGCCATCATCAGCTCGATCGGTTGAACATAAGTTTCTTCAATAGCACGCCACTAAGCTATATATTTAATTCATTCCAAATCGCCTCTGCTTAACTGGACTACACTTACGACTCAAACTCATAATCTCTCCAGTCTCAGTCAGTATCAGCCTTTTAACAGACACGTGTACGACTAGACGGACGAGGTAGACATTTTAATTTTGGACATTCCCTAAATTGGATAACTTTGATCTTGAATCCAAAAATAGCAATGGTGGGCTTTAAAGATCGGCCTGTTGAGCAATTACTTTCAGGTCGGTTAACGAAAATGTTTATACTTACCTGCCTAAATAAGGAGGTTGCTGTCACAATGTAATTTTTAGTGCCAAGAGACGCATTTCCAGATTTTCTTGGTGGTAAATGTGAAACCAAGTAGGTAATATCTGATTTATTTCTTTGTAAGGCAGTTTTAAGTAAAAGTCTGTATCCCTGTGACACGAAGGGTTTCATCGGTTCGATGTTTTAGTGGCTGGTCTTTACCATAGATCCCGTCTTATGGGAGTTACAGTGGTAGGAAACTATTAGAAGGTTTCTTTTCGGTACAAATTTTGGTCCATCTTCTTTTATACAAGTCTGTTTTTGACAATAATGGACGGTGCTGTCATCCGGGTGTTATGCGTACACTTATATTTCTAGGAGCTTTTAGTGGATGCGTTGAAAGGGACTGTAACCAATACAATCTCAAGATTTCTAAAAGCGAAGGTGTGGAAAGAGATGCTACACACTTCACATTTCCACCGATATAGTGTTTCTTTGACCTACCTAAGCATATAAAGTTCGTTTATGATGAATTAAAAATTCAACACTACAAATTCAATTATAAAAATCTACCTAACTAAATAACTGCAACATTGTAGGTATCGATGTAATTGAGTATTAAAAATAGAGCGATAGACAGTAACTTTAGAATTCATGGAATGGCTTGCATGTCTGCCGTTATATTGCAGGTCCATTATATTAATAACATGAAGCTCGCCGAGTCTGCTACCTAATACAGTTGTTTTGAACACTATGAAGGTTTATCGTGATGGACTGACCTGATTGTAGATAGCATAGACGTCGAACTATGGAAATGCATAGTTAAATTTTACAATTTATTCATCGTCATCAATCATCATCATTTGGCGAAGACGTCCACAACTGGACAGAAGCCTCCCCTTTAAGTCCTCCACGCCGATGATGCTGAATGACAACTTGCCACTAGCAAAATATTTCATCGAAGAGAATCGATACTAATACCTAGAGATTATACCAACGCATAACATCGCTTTTTTAATTAGTTAACTACTGAGGATTTTCCAAAAATACACATGGTAAAAGTAAGCGTGGGTTTTCTACATTGTGAATTGCAAGGCAGACAGCTATGCGTGACGTTATTATCTGATTTGCAAAATGACTTTTTCTATGAATCATTTATTTATTTATTTAATTTAATAAAATTACCGTGCCATTACAGGTAACTTAACCTAATTCGACATAGTAACTTAAAATATGTTGATGTTTGTCTGCATCTTTAGCTAGACCAATAGCTATTTCGGTCTTAATAACACAATAATTGCCTACAGCCAGCCAGTAAAAATACACGGTCAAGGAATTTTCCTTTTAAAACAAAGAAACGTGATATTTGCAAGGATTTCCTCATACAAGTGGACAGACAGGACAATAAAATAAAAAGGACACGACTAGACTAATGGTTTACCTACTTAAGTAACTTCGTCATTTAGAGTTACCTAAGGAAACCAAGTTTTAATGGAAAAAACAGTAATTAAAGTGGTCCCGAAAACACGTGTCTATTTTGTTGGCGAATGGGCTGTCTTAGCTATGTTCCTTTGTTGTTTGCAAAGGTTATTGAACTGTTCCTGCCCTTTTCTCAAGTTTCTAGGGGTCGTTGCTACATGTTTTCCTTTTCATTTCTCCCCCATCAAACATCTTATTGCCAGACTCCCGTTTTGGAAAATCCTCCATCCATCATTCGTTTTACTTTCTGTACCCTTCAAAAAGGTCTGGCTTAAAATAGTCTGTTTTCTGTATATTGTTATCATATCACACTGTATATTTAATGATTAATATAAACGCCCAAATAAATATGAACGGAGAAACACAAAGAGAAATCCTTACCAATACGTTGTTTTCTTTTTAGGATTCAGCCATTGTTATTCCGTTTCGGGCATACATGAATGAATATGTAGTAGGGTTAGGCAGTATGTGTGAAATAAATATTATTATTTGTCTATATGGCTTCAGTACCAATTTGGGCTTGTTTACTCAAGTGTTGGTTCTTTCGTCTGTCTGTATTTCCTAATGTAATGTAGGTAATATGTATTTAATATATTATGACATGGATATTGTGCCAACTGGTTAATGTTCCATGCATGCTCGAAAGTTTGTACTTTCTCCAGTCGTTAAATATTTTAATTGCAATGAAACTGTTTGTTCAGTTGCTATCAGAGTACTCTAATGCGGGCATTTTGTTCTATAAACTGCCTAATTTATTATGTTGAGTTTTCTAAGTTTTAATTTTACTGAATTTGATATCTCTGAACTAGGTTTTTGGTAGCTTAACAGCTAAGAATTAGACTACGTAATTTCCTTGGGGTAGGTAATGGTAGTGCGTGACGTGGTTCATACAAAGTAAAAGTGAGAACTAGTCCATTACTTTATTCATGAGCTAAAATTCAAAGTTCGTTAGTAATAGCGTTCATAGAGTTACGCAACTTAGTTGCGGATCATGCGAGTTCCTATAAACTCGTACGGTTAAGGTCGCCGTAAAAGTGCGTTACGTATTCCCGATCCGTATGGTGAAATGAAGCTATTAGCAGAGAGCTGTGTGACACGCCATAAAGCCATCAGAGGAGTTGGCAGCGCGCCACAGGCGAATAGTGACAGAAACGAAGCCCGTGAGTCAGCGGTACGCGGAACCTGTGTGCGGCGGCGCGATCGATAGACACTGCACCCCGCGCGCCGCCCCCGCCTGCACCTGCCGCCACCACACAGCCCGGCTCCTCGCCGCCGCCGACACACACCACAAAAACACGAGAAAATTCCTAATAATCAACGGAAACATTAAACAGTGCTTTGATCCAAGTCAATTTTAGTATTTACCTATAACCAGTTCAGTGGTTCAAGGTCGGGACGGTCGACGACCCCGGTTAAGTATAGGAGAAACGTCTACCTCAGTATCGGCTGAAACGCCGCTGTTTATTATTTGTGTTCATCTGTGAAATTTTATTTTTAATTATTACGTGTAGTGGGCAAGGTCGTGGTGCGTTTGCTGTGCACAAATGTTGAATCTTTATCATTGGAAGCACGCGCGTGCTCCGCGGCGGTACACAAAAAAGGCGGTTGCGCTAGTCGCTCTACCCTGACTTCTATCTGCTTCGGTTCGTGGATGTGATTGAGTCTGGTCTGCAGCCATGGCGTCTAAAGTCCTAGTGCCAGCTGCCCCGTTCACGAAGCTCCAAGTAAGTGGATCATTAATTATTTTGCGTCGGGTTTTCCCTCTCCTACTTCTCATGTCACCAGCTCTGATTTTGCGTCGGAAATAGATATCCTGCCAGATTCCCATCTGTTTGCATTCCTCTCCTCGCAGCTCGTGTCGTTTGCTATGTTTGTATGTGAGTGTCCAATATAAATAATTAAAAGTGCCAAGTCATGGAACACAAAGAACCTTCCGGTCATTGACATTATAGGAAAACCTATTATGTGTATCAGATGGGCTTTTCCCATCACCTAGCTATGGGAAATCGTTACTGATTATTGGGGTAATTCAAATGCAATTAACTGCTTCCGTACATTGTGCCGAGGTACATTAGTTATTTATCTGAACAAAGGGTTGCGCTGTCACTCGCTATACGTAAGTATCGTCTAGTTTCTTCAATTTATACGTACCTAGGTAGTAAGTCCTGTACATTATACGACACTACATTATTTTGTGAGTAATGAATTTTATGAATGAAACTTGGTATGTACTAGATATGCGCAGATAGTACCTATCTATCTACATTTACTCTATGTGCCATAAAATTAAGGATTTGTTATCATTTTGAATTTTATTAATTACTAATTATAATACGTCTAAGTGTGGAAATTCTCCATAATGCCAAAGCGCATTTAATTCACGATTCTGTAAAGATCATTAACAAATTGATGTCTAATGATCTTCAGGTGAAGAAGTCAGCTCCGGAGCCGACAGGCAGCGGGTTCATCATTGGAGGCGACCCGGTGGCCAGGGTCGCACACCTGGAGCACAGCGTCAGGTTCCTGCAGGAACAACATCGGCAGATGCTGAGTGGTTTACATGCGGAGATCGAAGCCTTGAGAGAGAGGAACAGAGGTAAGATAGACATTTGTCATGACTTAAGAAGCTCATGGTTAGGTTAGGTTATACCCAACACGCTGATCTGGAAGTCAATAAGGGAGGCCAAAACAGTGATTCATAATTACTACTTACTTAAATAATTTAATCTCATGATATGAATCATTCGATAATAGCAATACTACGACCAGTTACAACGTAGACTGCTGTCTGTAGATATACAATGTACATTTATCTACAGCTAATTTATTATGACGACCACCCACAAACATGGTGAGTATGAGGTCGGGCAGAATAAGCGGCTTATGTCGAGGACAATGGTACCTTTGCACTTTATGATTCAGTGGGTGGCCAGTTAGCCTACTTTCAGTACATTATCACAATATTCGGCATGCAATCGAAATATGCTGTAAATATTCGAAGGTTAAATGTATTTAATTGGCGAATTATTGGAAGGTAATAAACGAAGGGTTGCAAAATTTCATGTCATTAGACAGAGTGAAGAAATTTTACTACTGGAAATTGTACTATTTGCACATTCTATTTGAGTTCATTATGTTTCGACATGTGCCTAGGTACTTGGGTCGTTTTAAGTAGGTACGATATAAAGACGTTTACCATAGGTACCATATAGTTATATCTACTGTTGACACTCGTTTTAACCGCAAACTCCGAACTTGTTTACGGTTATATGAGTCATACGTTGTAGTCATTGTAGGTACGTTGCACTTAAGATCGAACCTAAACAATGAACTAAACTGGTGTGTGCCTTGGATGGGATGGTCAGTGGCACCTCTTAGTCATTTGTCTGTTTGGTATTTCTTGAAGGGTTGGGTGTCGATATACAGATTACATGTAAACTTAACTATCACCAACTTCACCCAAGTTAGGCGTTAAATTAAAGTTTCGTGGTAAAATAAAACTAGCCAAACTATGTGCTAGCTATTTAGGGTCCTAAAGTAGAGCCGAAAACCACAATAATACTTCGTTCCACTCGAAAATCAAACGAAGAATTCCTTTTCTATAACAAATAAAGACGACTTTTAATCATCTTCAAAACTTAAGAGGTTCTTTTAAACTTTAATAACCCATGGTAATGATCTTACCCTTTACAGATCTGCAGTTCCAGTTGATATTCAACAAGGAGTCCTCACCGAAGGCCAGTTCACCACCAGCTGAGGAAAACACTGAAAACAATGAGGTAACAAGACTAATGAGTTTGTGCTCACATTTCATAGTCTGATGCGCTGAGCAATTAGTGTTTCAAAACCAAGTTGAATTACCTAGTAGAGTGCAGTTATGTAAACTGGAAAAAGTTATGTAAAGTTATGTAATAAGTACCAACTACTAAGCCACTAGTCAAAAACGCGCTGAGATGTCACGAGATGCGAAGTTTTGGGAGGCCTGTGTCGAGCAGAAGATGTAAACGGGCTCATAAGAAAATTTGCAAACTATTGTTTCTCTTCCCAATGATGCCTGATATAGTCATTCTCATTTGTATCCTTATATTTACACTATATAATGGTGTTTGTATGATCTTCTTTTACTTGATAACCAGGCTAAGCTGAAGCGCGAGGTGTCACGCCTGGAGCAAGAAGCGTCCACTGCCCGCAGTGAGGCGAAGGCTGCCGAGGCCCGAGCGCTACAACTGCAGATGCTCGTAGACGCGCAAACTGAGTACGTGTGCATTTTGTACCTATCTTGTGCTTGAGTGAGAATTCTTTGCAACCTTGAATGACCTTGGTCAATAAACTTCGTGTCCAGAGTCTTAGTACTGACTAACCTTCTCAATGTGATGATTTAAGTTTGTATGTAAGCTTTACCTATCGACACAGACAGTTTGCATATAGGTACTTAGTTCAGTTACCCGTTAACTGTAATGAAACTGCGTACCGTGTACGGGGACAGAAAGCTGCGGTCTCTGGAGGTGAGCAGCGCGTGTTCGTGCGGCGGCGCGGAGGGCGCGTGTGCGCCGGAGAGTCGCGCGGAGCTGCGCGCGCGGCTGGGCGAGGCGGAGCGCCTGGTGCGCCGCCTGCGCGCCGACGCCGAGCGACAGCGCAGAGAGGTACAGGCGGCCGCCGGCCGGGACCCCGCCGGGGGCGCCGTCACTAACCTCTTGTTTGACGGCGTGGCCGCGCGTCACGCTCACGTACGTGTCGCCGTGTCGCCGTGTCGCACCGCCCGCCACTACCCACGCACCACCACAGACGATATACTCCTTTATGTAAACCTATAATTCTCTCCCTATCCTGATGCAAACATTTGAGAACAAACATAAATACTCAGTTTGCAATTTCTGCCTGCTTATAAAGATCTATCTTCAATAAATTCCAACCAAAATCCAAAAGATAGATTTTTTAATAAGACCATCCGTCCTACAGTCCCAAGGAGTATAGGGTGTGGTTGTGTCGTTGAGGCTCGGCGTAGTTGCCAGTTGGCGCGCCGACGTGGACGGGAACGCGTCACGCATACAGTACCCTAGCCAGGGAAGTACGAAGGCAAATTGGAAATGATGTACAAGTACTGCATAGGATATGGGAGAAACTCTGACCATTATATGATACGAACAACTTTCAAAAGTATGTTAGGACGTGATCCAAATTGGATTAACATGAGATGGATGCCGCAAGGCAGGAGTCTGCCAAAATTGTGGACTTTCCAGTATTGTTAGAAGGTAGCGACATATTAAATGGGACAGGCCTTAGTATTCTCTGGCTGCGGTAGCACACAGTTCTTACTAATCTCTAGTTATGCACAATAACATGTTGCGAGTGATGTTTTAGTTTTATACTAACCCCGCATGTGCTGCTCTTTGTTTGTCCCGTCCTCGTATGCGCTTATGAAGATTTTAGTTATTAATTTGGTTTAAGTAGCTCTGGGAGGAGGTTGCTGGTCAAATTGTAAACTATATTACAAGAACAGCAGCCTTTGTGCCAGTTTGTGAGGTGGCGAACTCAACACGAGGTACGTCAAGTCAAGGATAAAGTTTGACAGCAATCAAAGGGTCATCTTTAACCCCTATAATGAGGATCAAAATCATCGACAATTTACGAAGCCAAGAAATAACTCCTGATGAGTTCGCTACCCTTCTAGGAAAATAAACAATATCTGCTCAGCAGAGACAATACTCTTTAACTAAAGGTTATTTGTTTCGAAATTTATTGTTCTTAGAGTCTTAGCACTTAAACATTTTGTAGCAGATATCTTACTAACAAAGTGTTGATCGCTAGAGTAATTATAGATGTTTTAAAGCACAGGTTTGTGTGAAATGCAATACTTTGCACTAATTTCCTTGATTGATACACTTGCACATTTTGGTGGTGGGTTTGGAAGCACCCCAGTGAGATATAGCTGTTGCCCAAGGGTTTATAGCTGGTGATACAATAAACTTAAAACCGTAAAGTTCTTACAAAAAAGTCCATTCTAAAATGACTATAATTGTAATAAAGAAATCAAATGTCCAATGTAGGATAGGGTTCAAAAGTAACCATTTTGTTTATAAAAATTCTGTTTCGACCCTTTTGTACCCAGATAAGTTATCCAATGTGTTTGCATTAACAGTTACAGTGTATGAAAAATTCCCTGCACGCGAGTTTGCGCGCCAGTGGTTTGGACGCGTACGGATATCAGAACAACTACCACTTTCCACCAGTACATACGCCTGACTTCTGGCGAGAGCCGCTTAGAGAGTGAGTAATCCTTCTATCGTATGTTACAAACATTTATTTGATATCGTCCCCGTAGAGCGAAAAGTCATCAAGTCGAAAAATCACGTTTTGAGAAAATGAAGTTTAAAGTTTTAAAAAATAAGATTCGTTATAACTTTAGCTAGCCATTGCCGATCGTCATGTTTTTAGTTTCTATTTGAAGGAAAAACAGTAAAGTTAATATTATAAAAGCTATAATGCAAGAAAATGTTTTTGTTATTAAGAAAAATTAAAAATACCAAACTAGTTATTTATTCTTTAAACGATCTCTGGCTAATTTTGATTTAGTTAATTGTCGACCAGAGTTAGTGATTTTTCACTTAGTTTCAACTCATTATCAATAGAAATAACCGTAGTTAAGTAAACTGGAACTAATTGTTCAAATACCAAATGTGTATTGTAAATACTACCTATTTAAATTTTAGAAGCTTGTGTGATAAGTTTTGTTTTAAATATGACATTGATGATGTAATTAAACAATTGTAATAAGTTTATTTAAATTTATTAATAATGCAAAAAAATAGGAAAATAAAAAAAAAGTGAAACAACCTTGCGCTCGCACAAATGAAAACAAAAATGTAAAAAAATATTAAGAATTCAGTATTTATAAGTCTACTACTTCTTCTCCCGCCTCTGTAATATCTGGCTCCATTATTGTGTCAACGATATCTTTGTTAGTTGGTAGAGATTGATACCACAAGTGGAGCTCTTGTGGAATTATCTTTTTTGCGCACAAATTGTTTAGGTGGTGCGGGCAAAGTCGCAGTCTTGGATCTGGAGAGAGCACAGAGGGCTGTTCTCAGAGTGGCCTCGAAACCTTTTAGGTATCCTACTAACGAACTGTATAAAGAATGTCGAGTATTCACGGTGAGACAGCTCTATGTTCTCTGCACCATCATGAGGAAACATAGTTCGCTGCCATATGATCCAAAATGGTCCCAGAAAAACAGAAAAACGAAACCAATTTGTGAACCAATTCCACACAGAACAGCCTCACCCGGCCGCCAATATACTGCAATGAGCTCACGTCTTTATAACAAAGCACACAAAATCAATCACATCTATTCCTTAACTCGTCGAGTACCGTATTTATAAACACAATTAAAGAACAATAGGTTGCGGTTACCGGTGACCGCTTGGTGTTTGACAGTTTAACACGCAGGCAAGCAAAATCGAAAATCACACGTTGGCTTCAAACACTAACTTATTATGATGAAACGGAACAATTGTTAAACAAACTAGTCTAACTAATTAAATACTCACGCGTAAAGTAAGTACAACATAACACACTAACACACACACCCACATACATCATCCTTAATTATCTCTTTTAGTCAGATTCACTTTATTTTTCTCTTTTTAAATCTTTATGTCACTTAACACAATATTTGAGAAAATAATGAGCAATATGAGCATTCATACTTTTGTAACACTCAACGAGAGAACACTGACTTCCAAAATACAGGATCACCTAGTTTGGGAGGCAGAGATTTTATAAATTGTAAGCTGTACTTAATTGTATTCCTACACCTAAAATCAAATATTTGTAACTCGCTTGTTTTTAGTTAATAAAGATTTTATTATCACTTAGGAGGCGTACGAGTACCAACTGCGCAGAGGCCCTTTAGACAACATTAATCTAACTGTAATGGACACACAAACCGGCGACTATCCCTGTATGCACTATGGAAATGCACCCAAGGGCAGTCCCCGGTTAGTGTAGAACTATTGTGAATAATGGAAAAAAAAGATAGGGCTTTGGATGGGTTGCGGTGGACTTGTGAATTGGGATATGGATGACTATGGCACCTGCCGAAACAATGTAATTACTACACGTAAAAATGGCAGGCGGAGACTCGCCAACTCACCGACCGGGCCCCGGGAATGGTTGCTAGATATAGCAACAGAGGGGCAACAAGAATGTGAGTGGCTGAAGGGTTAAGAAACTACCACCGCTTTCTACTCAGATCATCTGCTCCAGCCGAAGCCTCCTGCATCCCTGGCCCACTCGCGACTTACGAATAGTTCCTTACCCTCCGAGCAGGATCACTGCTCTCGCGCCCCCATTTTGGACGGCCAATTAAGGCAAGCCAGAGGTGGGAGACCTGTTCCTTGTCATCGTTCACTCCAGCCAGCCAATTAAGGCAAGCCGGAGAAGAAGGAACGGTGACTTCTCCCTGGAGCACTAGGGATGATGGTAGCCCGCGGGATCGCTAATGCCCGTCACCTCGCCTCAAGGTACCCTGCGCGCTTATTATTATTATGTATGTCTTTACCATTCACGGGACCACAAGATCCCGGTAATTTGAGAGGCGTACGAGGGGCCGAAGCCAACTGCGCAGAGGCCCTTTAGACAACTTTAATCTAAATGTAATGGAGACACAAACCGGCGACTATCCCTGTATGCACTATGGAAATGCACCCAAGGACAGTCCCCGGTTAGTGTAGGACTATTGTGAATAATGGAAAAAAAAGGTAGGGCTATGGATGGGTTGCTGTGGACTGGTAAATTGGGAACTATGGATGACTATGGCACCAGCCGAAATAATGTAATTTTTACACGTAAAAATGGCAGGCGGAGACTCGCCAACTCACCGACCGGGCCCCGGAAATGGTTGCTAGATATAGCAACATAGGGGCAACGAGAATGTGAGTGACTGAAGGGTTAAGAAACTACCACCGCTTTCTACTCAGATCATCTGCTCCAGCCGAAGCCTCCTGCATCCCTGGCCCACTTGCGACTTACGAATAGTTTCTTACCCTCCGAGCAGGATCACTGCTCTCGCGACTCCTCTCTGGACGGCCAATGAAGGCAAGCCAGAAGTGGGAGACCTGTTCCTTGTCATCGTTCACTCCAGCCAGCCAATTAAGGCAAGCCGGAGAAGAAGGAACGGTGACTTCTCCCTGGAGCACTCGGGATGATGGTAGCCCGCGGGATCGCTAATGCCCGTCACCTCGCCTCAAGGTGCCCTGCGGGCTTATTATTATTATTATTATAGTAATTTAAAGGTTTTAATTTTTGTTCACTATAGGTCTTACGTTTCTCTTTTAAAAAGAAAAAATTAAAATGGGTGTAGATTTTTCATTTTTACAGTACAGTACAAATAATTTAAAAACCAAGAGTCAATATTCACTACGTCGAGTTAGTTAATTTTCGTTTTCGTGCGTTTTAGCAAACTATTGATTTCAAATATTCACTAAATCATTGTAGTGATTTTTCAATTAACTATTGACAATTGTATGCATTCACTATTGAATAGGAAAATAATTAAGTCGACTTAATTTTAAGTTATGCAAATTTTTCGTAAATGTATAATTAATTAATTAAGTTAGTTATTTCTCAAATTATGATGTGGAATCCAAAACATATCTTATTTATTTTTCACATTCCGTAAAACAAAAACGATGACAGCTACATAAATACCGGTTAGACTGATTTATAGAGAAATAAACGTACATTTTAATGATAGTGATAACTCATTTTGGTGATTTTTGGACTTAGTTACTTTTCGCACTACGGGGACGATATGTCCAGTTATTTGATAACGAAACATTCTCTATGTTTATAAGTCCTGTGACAAAGATATTGGCTAGTTATAAAAGGATGTTGCCAGCAAAGATAAATAATAGCAAAAAATGAAAGCAACGTGGAAATAAGTTTTACATCCAAAGGATCACATTAAGCAAAGTGTTTATTGCTTCTTCTAAAATATACCACAAAAGTGTAGTTTATGTAATACCAAATGACGACTGTATTTCCTAAAATGAACTTTAAGGTGTGTTTAAAATTGTACTTATTTGTGTCCCTGTATGCCTATATGGTCGACCAGTAAATGTTTTCCGGTAGCTATAGCCTGGGCATCTTCAAGTCTCGAGCTAATACATTACTCCTAGGCAAGCCGTCATTGTCGCCTCAGTCATCGCTTGACTTCAGGTGACCAAATACTAATTATAGCGCAATGAATAGCACCATTCAACAAATTGCGAACACCGCTTGGTATAATGCAAATGTCTGACACATCAAATTACTCTAATCTGTCGATTTATTCAACATGTTTTTGTCTTTATTGCATAACAATAAGTTGAAAATGTGTCGAGTAAAGAATGACGTATCGGAGTAGGTTGATCTGGTGTCTGAACCAAAAACAATGCTTAAAAGTTAAAACAATCGAAATTACCATATAATGAAAGAGCATATTTCTATCTATATTAAGTATCACTTACCTCGTTATAACACATTGCAGCGACTTCAACATGGTGGGTTCGAGAGGGCGAAGCACCCGGCGGCCGCTCACACTGCCTGAACTATCCGGACAACAGATGCACCGCTCTACCATTTATGCAAACAGTAAGTCACTTCACTCTAGTCTAGACAATCATCCTTACTTCCTTACTTATATTATAAATCGGAAAGTGAGTTTGTTTGTTTGTTTGTTTCACTTTAACGCCGTAACTACTAAACCGATTGCTTTGAATTTTTGCAGATGTATAGTTAGAAGTTAGTTGTTAAAATTTGATATTCCCGTGGGAAAACAAAAGTATTGGTATAGATGGCGCTGTGTGTATTGGCTTTTTATCCTTTTGTGACGCGAGCGAAGCCGCGGGTAAAAGCTAGTTCTAAATAAAACACAAATGTTTCTGAGTACTGTAATAAGTATTCAACAGGAGCCATTTTTAAACAATTTTTCTATGAATTTTAGATCATACACGTGATCCGCGTCCGAGAGCCAATGGATATGACAAGAATAAAAAGCCGCCAGCGACCAATGGAGAGGCCACCACCAGTACCAGTACCCCTAAGACTCCAGAAGAACCCTCAGGTATACCTTTCACATTTGCAGGAACTAATTAACGAGATTATTAAATGAGAATATATACTAGTCAAAACAAAATAAGGGCCACTTGTTATTTTTAACAGCGGTAGCGATAATTAATTTTTTCTGCGTACTCAAGTAGCTGAATGGTTATTACAGCGTTACCTTATTTGTTTACAAACATTTATTTAAGTGTGCTACAGGCATAACTCTGTGAAGTGAGCAGTTTTTGATAATTTATTGCACCCACTTGATTTTACCCGATTTTAAGATGGATTTTAACTCATTCAAACTAACGATTCTGTCAAGAACAGTTTAGTTTTGTTTTACTTCTGGCTGAATTATTTCTTTAACAAAGATATGCCGAGAACCCGACGACATATGGACTTACCAACCGTCACTAGGGCCGTAACATTACTTCAAGAAGGCCATTCGCAGCGTTCTGTTGCGATGCAGCTAGGCTTTTCCCGGCGAGCAATTCAGAATGCTTGGTATCGATTTCAAGAGACTGGGAGACTAACCAGGAGACGGGGATCTGGCAGAAATCGAGCAACTACCGCACAGGAAGACCGCTACATACGTTTGACTGCGCGCAGAGAACGCTGCATCATAGCCCGTTCCTTACAAAACCGTTTGCGGCAGGCTACGGGTACACGTGTTAGTGATCAAACCATTAGAAATCGGTTACACGAGGACCAGCAGTTCTCTAGGAGACGTGTAGTGCGGATACCATTGACAAGTGCTCATCGTGCAAACCGATTATCGTTCGCAAGGCAGCATCTGGCATGGGATATGAGTGAATGGAGCACAGTATTGTTTACGGATGAGTGCAAAGTAAAATTTTTTTGTGATGACCGTCGCATTAGGGTCTGGAGGCGTGAAGGTGAGCGATTTTCGGATGCTTGTATCCATGAAAGGACAGATTTGGGGGCCCTAACGTTATGGTGTGGGGAGGAATCTCTACATCAGGTAGAACTGAGTTGATAATTCTCAATGAAGGCACAATTACAGCTCAACGTTACATCGAGGAGGTCATAAGACTTCATGTGGTCCCATATGCACAAAGAATCGGCGCAAGATTCCGTCTGATGCACGATAATGCTCGCGCTCATACAGCTAGGGCCACCAGAGAAGCTATAGAGGAGGCTGGTATACAGGTGCTGCCCTGGCCTGCAAACAGTCCGGATCTTAATCCCATTGAACACATGTGGGATTTACTCAAACGCAACGTTCAAAGCACAAACCAACCCGTGCACAATGAAAGACAGCTAATAAACATTTTAAAATCAAGCTAGGAACAAATTCCTCAAGAAACAGTGGTACACTTGGTGGAGAGTGTACCATCCAGGCTTCAAGAGTGCATTAGAAAACGAGGAGGGCATACTAAATATTGAGGAGTTACAATTCAACCAATATCTGATTTGTTTATTTTTTTACTTGATTCTGATTTCACACATTTTGCTTGCAAAAATGTTAGGTTTTCAGAAAAAAATGGTAATTTTTTTTTTGGAATGTGTCTTTCTTCATTTTGTGCTGTTAATAATAAAAAACAGTTAATTTATAAAATCTAATCATTAATCAACACTTAAACCTCAAGATTTCATGAGGAAACTATAAAAACGTGGTGGCCCTTATTTTGTTTTGACTAGATATTATCTAAGTCAAAGGATAGGCAGGATTTTAGGAGGCCCGGTTGCAAGACAAGAATGAAAAATCTTCAGTTAAAAACTTGTATAAAATCATTCGAACATAATGAATATTAGATATAAAAATGTTTGGGAGTTACAGCGTGTTTACTGTATATGTACATTCATGTGTATGAGCCATTATTATAGTCGAATATTTGAATCTGGGGGCACGGTAGTTCTACGCCAAGATATTTTTTTTCTATGAGCTTTTTTTTGATGGGGGAAAATCATTCAATGGTTTCTCCCGCCTTGGGTTAGGTGAGAGGGAGTGGCCGACTCTTACTGACTAAAACCCTCCCCGTTTCTACTCCTACTTTTCCATCCGGAGCCCCGACAATCCGTTAGGTCTTCCGCGGCTCCGTGTCTTTTCTTGTGTTAAGGGTGTAATCACAATCATGCACAGCAAGTTGGTTGATATTTTGCCTTACAAGGTTCCTAATTTATTAAATGAGATTGAACTATGGTGAATAGGTAACAACCTGATATGGTTTGTCTTTTTATCATGAAAGTGTGTAAATTTTTATTTTTCTTTATATTGATATTCCAGACTGCCGATTTAGATCAATGAACGCGAGCGATTTATCGAAAAACGAACATAGTAACATGAGCTCAAAAGCCATGTATCCAGAGTTGAAAATGGTTGTGACAAAATTAATATCACACAGTCAGGGTGAGGATTGGCACGTTTTGTTTTATTTGGTTATGGCAGCACTACAAACTACCCAAACCTATCCATTTTTTTTAAGATTTTCAACCTTACGCCTTCTAACCAAGGTTGATTATCAGTTAACGAACTTTGAGGTTTCAAGGTAGCTTGATGTGATATTGTCTTTACTGGTAAATTATTTAGTTATAACTAACACTAACAGAAGTAGGTAATGGTTTTTATGGTGTATTTTCGATGGTGTAAATGCGTGTATATAATATATATAGTAGTTTATTAATGCGAACATGATGGTGATTTATGAGTATGTGTGTAGGCAACTAACAATATTAACTGGCTTGTTGTGCATGCAGGTACTTACTTACTAACAATTTAGACAACGTTAATTTTTATTTTAACTATGCAATGTGGACTGAATAGTGTACAATGGGGTACTTTCCTTAATCAAAAATAAATTAAGTACGTATTTCGACTGTTCAAAACAGTAAATAAAAAAAAATCATGAATTGAATTTATAGCAACTTAATTTTAGTATGTTTCCAGCAAATTTTTAAAAAATATGTATGTTGTTTGATACTAAAATAGTGTCGTCACGATACACAACATCGCACAAAATTCATAGAAAACTGTCGTTTTTGGTAGTTCAAAATAAGTATTGAATTTGACTATTTGGCAAGTACCCAATTGTATTGTGATTGTGACGTCCCTAAAGCGAGTGTATAAGATTTATGTAAAACATTTTTTTTAAATATGGTGTATTTGTTTGTTGTCAACCAGTGAGCGGCGCGAGCGCAGACGCGGGCCGCGGCCGCACGCGCAGGCACCACCACCGCAAGCACGCACCCGACCACACATAGGGGGGGCGCGCACACACACACACACACACACACACACGCGCGCGCGACCATCGCACTCGTATCGCTGCAGCCTCGCGGACACCGCCCACATTGTCCAACCGTCGACAATATTGGATTTCATTTAACACAAACAAAATTGATGTAGTATGTTATAATTTCATCGTCTAATGAGGGCGCTAGCGTGATTCGCTATAGGTATAGAGTCAAACTTTGACGGCTATAGTGATTGTATAAACAAGACCTCATTTATTAGCAGAGCCGTATTATAACTAAAACAAACTGGGCGCCAGGGCCTTTAGCCAAACGCCACTTTAGCGCTTGTCTACAGAGAATGAAAAAACTCAATGTATGGGGATGACACTGACAAGTGTCAAAATTTACGTCAATTTCATATAATTTGGTTTTCTATTCTACATGTAGACAAGCGCCAAGTGGCATTTGGCTACAGCTGCAGGTTATAGACGGACACTGCAAGATGCGCGTGCCCATAGCCATAGAGAGGCGGCGGCGTCAAAAAAATTACTTGCGCCTATGAGGTGCTTACCTAGGCGCTTTGTAGGTTTGAAACGCCTCTGTTCATTACTGCTTTCTTAGCAGAAAACGCGGTAGTCCTCATTATGTCTACCAACATTCCCAAAATATTTTATACCCTTAAGTTTTGTGTATAAATGATTGGTTTTCATTTACTTTTCATTGTATAAGTTGGATGAAATGTAACCAAAATAAGTGAAATATTTGGACTAAAACGACTTAACGTACTTCTAGGTAATTTATTATATTATTTAATGTCAAAATTTCAGTCTAATACAATTTTATTGTTCTACACAAAATATTGAACATTGTCTAGAGTCTAAATACATATTACATTCGACGTCCGTGGCTGAATGTTTGACAAAATAGATAGTAAATTTTTAAAATTAATATTTGGATGATGACGTAACAAAGCAATAATAAGTTCAGAAACTTGACTGACGGATTTCATGAACAAATCGATGGTTGGACTGCAAAGTCAAAGAATTCAATTATTATGATATAATCGTAATCGCCTTCTGTAATATTATACTAACTCGTAGTTATCGTATAGCCTGGAACGACCGTGTTTACATTAGAGAGCCAACGTAATGTTGCACGATAATACACCTTACCGCACTAGATAGAGAGCTCATAATCTCGTGTGGTCAGCAGCAACGTACAAAAAGTAAAAAAGAATATTGGATTATCTGTCTTATGTTCATGGTAATACGCACTAAAGTTGCTTGTACATTGTAAATGAATGAGTCATGGGCAAGTGCAACTCAAAATTGTTTTGTTTGTCATCGCTATAAAGCACAATTTGGTCTGTGCCATCGTAAAAATACAATTGTATGGGCTTCTGATTGTGTATTCACCGATAAACATGTCAATGTCAATTAATATAGTATCGTGACGTCACAGTACACGCTCATACGAACATTGCCTCGACCACATCGTGCAACAGTACGGACACGCCCTTAGATTTTGCTCATTCGTGATTTAAAGTGCAATTTTGTATATACATACATTACCTACATAAACAGTAAAGTTAGAGAAACTTAGTACTTATGAGCAATAATGCTACGTAATAGTTGCTTAGTGTAACGTCTCTTTCTTTTATTATGAAAATAAAAAGGATGCCAGACGGACATTGGCGAGTATGTAGAAGTTTTTCTTTATATTAGAATAACGTACAATGTTTTTGCCTTTGGAAATTCAGTGATATATCCGCAACTACTGCCATTAGCATTTATTTTCCTCCGGACACGGACTACGTACGGCAAACGGTATGTACTTAAATATAAAGACTAAAATATTTTTAGCTGAATCTAGAGTTATTTAATATTAATATAGTCGAAATGATCTGCGATTTTAATCATGTTTAAATTTTAGATAAACAACGTTTTTTATATTATTATAGTTACGCAGTTGTCCGCCCGATTGGCATATAAGTGTGAGTGGTCCGAGCTACATTGTGAGAGTGACGTAGACCTATTAAATGCTATATTTGTAGCCTTATCCATATTAATCTAATTTATTAAATTAATAATACTATTAATGATTATATTTGAATATTATAATTATTGATATAATAATATATTTATTGCAAAACATTGACTATTGTTTTATTTCCTTCTAAACCTAAAACTTGTATAATTAAAGTCTATGTACCTGACAAAGGCTAATTTTGCACCTTAAATGAGTATGATTAGCATTAAAAAATCCACAAATCAGTACAAAATGTTTAATTACAGTCAGCTTAAAAGTAATTTGAACATAGTATGTTCGCTACAACACTTGTAAGCGTTACCTAAGAACCATAACACAGATTCGTTTACTTGATCAGTCTCTAACAATTTCTGTAAGACATGCATCTTATCATTTTCTACAAAATAACTTAGGAATTTATCGAAGGTGTAAACACAGTTCATATTAGCTATTAATCTAAATACATACACGATGTTTAGGTCATCAAGAGACTTCTCAATACTTACTGACATGAAATGTAACACTTTGAGTATGAATTCATCGAGGAGGAAGTATGATTGGAAGCAGGTCCTGAAGTCGCGGTGGCAGCTGAGTATGAAGAGTAAGTGTGCTGACATCGAGAGCCGTAACCTTGGCAGGATGGAGAGGATCTTCGTCACGTATTCTGATCTGTAAATTAAAATATTAGGTTTTTTATTGAGACTTGTATTGTGAAATTCATTATTAGCCTGTCATTGTTATCATGTAGATTTAGGTTTGAATCCTGGTTTGGGCAAAGGGTTATTAACTATAGGCAATAAGTCCACATCACATTAAACTGTCAAATACCAAGCGGTCACCGGTGACCACGACCTATTGTTCTTTAATTGTGTCTATAAAACCGGTACTCGACGAGTTAATCTCTAGTCTCGAGTAGATCTGTTCTCCAGCATACCACAGGTTAAATAGGAATTTATAACATGACAAGTGAAATGTAGGTTTTATCTCAATTCATCATTTTCTTACTAAAACATTCGTGTTTATATTATTGATATACCCTTAATAAAATACAATAAAATGAGAAGCTCTATCTATCAAATTCAGTTAAAAAAATACAATTTAACACTTACGGGAGATTATCTTTGAGCTGGTTACACAGGTGTACGAGAGCGTACAGCACGGACTCCCGCAGGTCCTCGTAGTTGCAGACCAGCAGGTGTGTCAGTCTGGCCACGCAGCCCTGTGCCATTAACACCTCACTGGCTCTAGGTCCTGAACCGGCTAGGTTACCTAGTGCCCAGGCACTTGAGATCTGGAAATATTTGAAAAGAATTATTTAAAACTGTTCTTTTGATCTATTTAGCTCCATTAACTACATTATAGACCTTATTTCCAATGCTTAGAGACTACTTTTGTATGAACTAATTTAGGGGATGATTTTCAACAGGTTTAAAATAGGGTTTTTTTTAGTAAGAGCATAGTAATAATAGGTTCTTTGAAAAGAATACATATCATGAAAATCTACTATGGCTTGCTTCTTTAAAATAAGTATGATAAATAGTAAAAATCAAACGAAAGTTTGGAACTATAATTAAACAACTGTTGCTCTACATTAATTTCTTTATGTTTCAACTAGCTGTTGCCGGTGTCTTCGTTTGCATAGAATATGATTTATGTTTAATCCCATAGAAGCATTTAATCGGGATAAAAAGTATCCTATCACCTAAGTCAGCCCATACCCTGCCTGAATACCGAATTTCATCAAAATCCGTTGTTGTTTAAGCGTGATTGACGGACAAACATCTAAACAATGAAATTCCCATTTATAATATTATAATAAAATATAGATAAGCAGCAGCTGTAGCCAAGTGCCATTTAGCGATAGTCTACTTTAAAACCAAATCACCATTTGCCAGTATCATCCCCATATATTTAGTTTTCGTCATTCATTTAGTTTTTTATTCTCTCGGTAGACAAGCACTAAAGTGGCGTTTGGCTAAAGGCACTGGATTAAGATTGTTAGCTTCTGCTGTCATCTAAACCTTTTAGTGTCATTTGTCTTATCAAATCTTATTCAATTCAACAAAAAAGAAAAGGAATGAAGTACAGAATAAAGTTGAAATCATCAAATACTCACAGCCAAATCAGCATTGAGACTATCAAGAGCTGCAATCAGGTAGGGTCCAGCGGCCTTTGTAACAGTCAGACCGGCCTTGGCATCCCCCAGGCCTAGGTTACAACAGCAGCCTATGGCCTCAAACTGCTTGTTTAATCCATGACCTGAAAACATAGGTACACAAGTGCTCTATAAATATTAGATAGTTTGGAAACGACGATTCCATGTTCTAATAAGCATTGTATTTTCATCTGATGCATATTCATGTGATAATAATACCACATTAAGCGAAGTTCACAACATCAAGTTTATACTTAATCGGTACACTGTAAAATTTCACTGAACTGTAGAGATATGTGGACGGTTTTAACAAGTATTGTTGTATATAAACATTTCACTAACATGAATATATCTTTTATCATAATAGTATCTGATATTGAGCTGTAAATTGTAAAACAATTAAATTAAAATTTCGCAGGGTATCATAGAGCATTCACATTAAATAAGCTTGATACAAGAAAAATAAAGAACAAGATTTCATTTCTGCAGGGAATTTTCAATTTAAGTAATAAATATAATAAAAACTATTTTTGGAAATAAAGAGCAATAATGAGCTGAAAAATAACATTAATAACAAGAAATTCATTTCTTATAAGAAATACCACACATGTGTCAATATTTTAACAGATTTATTTAAGTTGGTAAAAGTCTGTTTCTGCCAACATTCGCATTTGCAGGAGCAATGTAGAAAACATTTGGAAAAGGAATAGTTAATAAATATAGGATAATATTTATACTCTTTATAATAAAGACAATATCTTACTAGATAGTTCCCGTACAATCCCCCGTAGAGCACCGTGAGTATGTAGTATTATTTCTATGTTAGCTGCATCATCTATCAGAGAGTTCTTCAAAGCACGTAGCTCTGATGCAGTCACAGCAGACTTGGTTTTCAGTTTATTTGCTATTTGTGTCACTGCATCTGAGTTTGGTCTGTAAGAGTTATAAAAAGTTAGTCAATAATTTTTGGTAATCTACGGTTTTCTGCTTTTACACTATCGTTGTTTGAAGTTTGTTAATTTGAGACTGAGTATCCATACTTATTACTAACTTGAAGCATTTAAATGTCTAACCCACCTGGTAATTTAGCGTGGGAATTATATCAAATCCAACAAATAGAGCCTATAGGAGTATCATAGTCTAGTAGTAATTACTGCTATTTAATCCTGTTAGATTCAATAGATTGAAACAGGCAGATGATATTTTTTATTATTATTCAATTTGTTTTGATATCGTACCATTATAGAAAATAATCAACACAACTGAAATTTTACGAAGATTTTACTTGAGGAAGTAACCACATGAAGAAAAATAGCGGTATCAGCGATAATATTCAAATCTTACCGCAAATTAGGCAAGGGTCGCTTCTCATCGGATACGGCATCACGTTTCTGCCGCCTATTCATCAGTAAAAGGTTACGACTCGATTCCCGAATGCCTTCAATAGCTTCTTCTTCTTCCATTGTAGTTACAGTAAAGGAGTATTCAGAAATAGATCACACAGTAAAACTTAAATAAATAAATAATTAAAATAAATACATGATTTAGATGTAGAACAATCTCGTTTCACTGAACTGTTAACAAAGCTGACTGACGTCTGAGTTCAGGACCGGTCTGACGTAAGACGTTTGACACATTTGACGGGTTTGACCATAGACAAAATGACAGACACGATCAACAGATAATAGAGGAACAGAAAAATATTTAACACCAAGGCTTTTAAAACATGAATATTTTTACTCTATGTTTTGTAACATAATGGATGTTAGAGAAGTTGAATAGGACTGATGATCGGTTGTTGTTTATTCTGGAATGTGTCACTGATTCACCTTTTAGGTACGTTTGCCAAAAAGTGCAATTGTCTTTTTTATAGATTAGTATCTCACAGTAGTTCAATTCCCCTGCCTCGCTGCCTCGTAGAGCATAAAATCAACCAGGCTTCAGGCGTCGTCATAGAAGAAGGATTATTTACTCGCCTCTCGCGTGTTTCTCGTACACACGGGTGCACGAGAGAGTTGAGTACCCATCCCGGAATTGTACACACATTGTGATATTTTTTTTGTGACGTATTTTTTCAAGTTTGCAACCCGTTCTTTATTTGATTGAACAGAATACCTAGTTAATTTGCTTTTCTATTCAAATATTTACCCGTGTGTACGAGAACGCGCGTTTACCCGTTTGTACGAGAGGCGCGCGAGAGGCTAGTCAGAAAAGAAAACAATTGGTCATATAAAATACTGGTGTTTAGACAAATCCGGTTCAACTGAGTACTTAATATGAAGAACAAACAATGAGTTAAGAAAATGTCAGAAAAATGAGAGATTAATTAGAAAACAAAAAACAAGCCTAGCATTTTCACTTGGTTGCTTCTTTTTTTATGGAATAGAAGGCAAACGAGCAGAGGGATCACCTGATGGTAAGCGATCAGCGCCGCCCATGGATACATCATAGCTTCATCATCATCAGCCCGTACTCGTCCACGTTATCGGTTCTTCGACAAATGTGACCGGTCCACTGCCACTTCAGCTTACTGATCCTTTGGACTATGTCGATAACGTTTCGGATTCGATCCTTCAAAGAGACTCTCAGCATAGTCCTCTCCATAGCTCGCTGCGCGACCTTAAATTAGTGGACCAGTCACACTGTCAGTGTCCACATCTCGTCTCCGTCATTGTCCACATCGTCTATGTCATTATTGGCAGGTCACACTCGTTGAAGACTTTCGTCTTTAGGCTTTGCGGTATCCGTGACGAGAACTTGATTAAGTGACTTGATTAAGATCTTATACGCTGCCTAGCCAACCTGTATCCTGCTAAGGGCCTCCTTCACGAAGCTGTTCCTACCAAGCTGCAGGGTTTGTCCCAGGTACCTAGATGTATTCCTGAACAACTTCGAGAGGCGACCCGTTGAGAAAAATTATCTCCGGATTGACAAGTTCATTGAACATTTTTTTTTTGTCCAAGTTCACCCGCAGCTCGATGCGTGCGGAAGAATCAGCCAGGCTGCTAAGCATATATTGCAAGTCCTGCACGGTTTCAGCCACGATGACGATATTATCTGCAAATCTCAGGTGTGAGAGTTACTTGCCGTTTATGTTCATACCCCGTCCTTTCCAATGCAGTGTCTTGAAATTATCCTCCATTGGTGCCTTTATAAGACTATAATATACTTAGATGAGTTACTTGTTCAGAATAGCCAATTAAGCTTAATACAAAACTCGTAGGTACTTTCTCTTGAGATTTTCTTTACGTCATCAATATCGCCGACTAATCACCTAGATTGATGAATTACACAAGATTTGGTTCGAGTTCGCGCAGTGTCCAGTTGTAATGAGCTGTGTAATGGTTCTTGATCGAGTTTATGGTAGCTCTACTTTATTTGGTTGTAGCCTGATGAATGTGGGCTTTCAGTTCGCTTACTATTTATCAATTTAGAGGGGAAATTCGTTTAATCGTGGCTAATCACGATTGTTATAAGCTTCCGTTTCGGTAGGAACGGTTATTATGGGGTACTGTTAATAAATTATACGTAGTTAGGTATGCAGAATTTATTTAAAATCAATTAGCATTTTCAAATACATAGATCCAACCTTTTTGAACAAAATAATTTATTTACAGCCAGTAAGTATAATGTAGTTGATGAAAGTTATGAATTAAATAAATAATAAAACAATTAAGTACCTAGAAGAAAATACATACTTTAATTGATTACAAAACGTTTTTGTTAACTAACCCTATAATCATAATTGTCATATTTTTTTACAATATTGGGATAGTGAGAAATGAAACACTTATTGTTATTTTATAATTTCATACAAGCTAAACTATTCCACATGAAATTAACCCATTTCTTTCCACAACGTAGAACATACAATTCGTTTAACTTAACAAATACTCGTCTGAATTTGTTCTTGGTCAGTAGGAGCGTCCAAACTCATTTAGTTTTAAGCTACAAGTGTGTATTTGTATTGCAACTTTCGTGAGACATACTAAATACTGCTACTGAGTAGCAGCGTGACAGTCGCCGTGTCGCGGGTCGCGAAATGCTGCTCATGAATATGAGCCTTTAGCATGGCTTGAAACTAGTCGAGTAGTGCTGAGTGAGCCGAAAACATAACAATTTACAAGTGTGTAATTCATTTATTCGTTTATAAGAGCCTAAGAGGGCCTGGACCAGACTACTTAGACTACTTCAGTAGTTTAAATAAAGTGCAGAACCTTATCTGGAGTCTCGACAAGTGCCATAAGCTGTAGTTGCAGTTTTAGCTTTAAAGTGCACACCCAGGCTTCAAAATGATTGCTTTTGGAAGCATACGTGCCGGCTCTTGAATATAATCAGCATCATATCAGCTACAGAGTTCCAAGAGATCAATTGATAGAAAAAATAAACAATAAGAGATCATCACGATTCAGGTTTTCTAACGAATCGAAGTTCTTTGGTCAGCGAGGAGTAAAACCCGGGCAATGGAAAGTCGAAGAGCTGTGTTGTCCTGATGAACTCATTTGTGGAGTCAGATAGAAGTGTCTGCAAGTCGACCTGGTCTCCAAGGTTGCTGATCTTTTCGTGGATGAACTCTAGAAGACAGCAGACCCTGAGAAATGGTTTCTGTATTAGACATTGTATAAAAGTAGCGGTTAAGGCTCTAGATAGAATTATAAATAGTTAACGATAATCTAACGGGAAATGTTGAATGTGGCATCAGTAGTAACATAACATCATGCCTTTTTATCCCGAAGGGGGAGGGAGAGGTGCACAATACGGCACTTATTCCCACTGTACAATGGGCACAGTTCCAGACTCCGTGCTATTACTAAGATTTTTAAAAACCCAGTAATACTTTGCCTGACCGGAGAATCAAACCCGAGCCCGGCAGTCGCACTTGCGACCACTCGGCAACGAGGCAGTCAGTAGTTTAAGTTATAAAATTAAATCTACATTATCAATATGATTTCTTAACTCTTGACAGAGAATGTTGTAAAATTCAAACTGATTTAGCTTTTCATCATGATGGTTTAAAGGATATAGTCAAATACTTGATTAAAGAATTAGCCTTCCTGTCTTGGATTAAATAAAATTAGCGAGTTGTATTCTGACTTACTTAGACCTTCTACCGCGAATGTCTGGAGCTGAGACAATTGGTACACAAAGTCGAAACTCTAAGTTGTCTTGCGGTAGGGTCGACCAGACTCGAGCACGAGGGATTACATAGTAGCCTTCAGTCTGAAAGAATAAAATTATGAATCATTTTTTAATCTCATGACTTCTTGTTGCTTGGAAGAATATGGTACATTTAGTACGCTCAGTTTAGGCAATTACTTTAAGAGATCCTCATGTTCGCATCCGAGAAATAGGACAATAAAAGAGTATTAGTCATCAACTTTGCTGGATAAGATTAGAAATATGGAGCAGACACATTTTTAAATACAGTTGATAAACTTAACAACGTGCCCACTATAACTAAAGCAAATGACGTGTGTAACTGACCTGTACAATATAAATCTTCGGCTTGTCCTGCAGCGTGGGAGGCATCAAATCAGACATATACCTCATCACTCCGAACTCGGATTTGGGCGTGTGATAGGTCTCCACTATACCGTCTCTTGTCTTTGGTAACATCATGACTGCTACACAGCCATATTCTGTGAAGTCTCGCTGAAAGACTGGAATAGAGGAAGGGCATATCAAAATTTGTGCAGTGACCTGATGGCAACTTATGAACATTAAATTTGTTTCTACTTGTACCTTGGCTAGTGATATTATCGGTGGATAGATGTGCACTTATAGACCTACTAGTACTTACATGTTGTAGGTTCAATGAACCCCTTTTTACCAATTAAATTTTTAGTCCCAAGTGATACATTGGTCAGCCTAAACTAAACAGTGTTAGTGTTAATACTGAGAAAAACTTTGAAAATCCGAAACAACAAACAATTTTGGAAATTGAACACGACAACCCCCTTGCCCAAAGTCTTGCACTATTGACCGTTTGACCAATGAGATAGTTATCAGAACACACTTGCCTACTTTAGTAATTTAGGAATCTCAATTAATTAACTTACATCTTTCACAAGTACTCGCAATTTCATCATCGTTCAAATCCCTATAAATAGTCACTTCGAAATGGAATTTCTCAAAGGTCTGCTTGAATTTTCCACTGACGTCATCACCTTGGTCTCCATCTTCATCATCAAATGAAAAGCCAGCATCGGATGAATTGCCTTCAAATATCAACATAGCATGCTTGTTATACCTGCAAGAAGCAAATCGATCTGTTATCATTACCGGCAATGTATGTTGTACTGATGTATCGATTTAGTGATGTTTTCAACAGAAATTCGACTTTTATGTATAAAGATAAGATTGAAAATGTAAATGTAAGTTTAGGGTGGCCTGATGTGGTGGCGTCTATAATATTATACAAATATTAATCCAATTGATAAGATATTCAAAACATAAGAACGAGTGAATGTAGTTGCAATTTTGATAGACATGTGCGTCTTATTTTTTTTTTTTTCAGAATAGGTCACAGTTGTGGAATATTGAATCTAATATTTACTTTTTACCAATTATTGAAGAATTTTACTTGTTATAGGAACTGAGTCTAACTTCTAACAAGGTTTTCAACTGATGTAACCGTATCCTATGTATGGATGAAAAACCAAAAAGCCAGAGGGACTGTCAGACTCCTACTAAAAATCTACCCCTTTAGAACTTGCGCTTTCTGCTCAAGCCGCGGTATATTACTAACTTTACCCGCAACCCCGACAGGATAGCCTATAGGCTTAAAGTAATTTCTCTTTTAAGGGGGCTTCCACACAGTAATTATATATCGTTGGAAACTGACTTAACATTAGTTTTTAAAACAAATCATAACAAAAGTTGTTGTAGTAGTAACTTGACATGTTGTAGAGAATATTACCAATATTACAAAAAAAAAAATAAAAATATAAAAAACTATCGTGAGACATACTAAATTAACTAAAATCACGGGTTACTCACGTAAATATACTGAGAAAAGCTCTACTAGTAAGCTGCGCGAGCTCAGTGAGCTGCGCTACGTCGCCGCGACCGCTCCTCATGAGGAAGAACCCTCTGTGGTTCGAAAGTAGTTTTCTCAGTATATTCACGTGAGTAACCCGTGATTTTAGTTAATTTGATATAACTTAATTAATTTAATTTAAATGAATTTATACAACTTAAAATATAAATAACTTAAAACTGAAATATTTACACCTTAAAAAAGTAACAACAATAAAAATGCTACCTTAAGGCATCAAAAAAAAAAATTCCTCATCGCTATCGTGAGGTAGGGTGCACAAAAGACTGGCAGCATTGCCACGTTGAATGGCAATGCTTAACCTTTGCCCAAGGTAGTAGCCAGCCCTTCGATCACCTGAAGTGTCAACCATCCTTGACCTTACAATATCTTTGTAAAGAAGATGTGCACTTGAGCCCCACGGCCCTAAAGTTTCAGCCCAGTTTTATCATCTTACACAAAGTGATATAACGTTATATAACTGCTGTGTGGGAGCATCTTTAGGAAAAATAAATTTTTCCTTGAAATCATCCACAATCAAACAGTTCATCAATAAATAAATCGTAGTCTGTACTAGACCTGTCATCATCAATTACTATGATTATCATTAATCCCTTGATACATATAGATAACATTTCTATCAAGTCTACTTATGTCCTGTTTTGAAATTAAAATGTTTCAACAAAATTTTGTCAATGACTAAGAATTTGCACGTGGTTTGATAATAGAGGTAATATGTATGTACAGATACAACCACATAATACGCACATTATTATGCTATGGGTACTAATTTTCAACTCTAAAGTCTCGTAACAAAGTCAAAAATCTACAACTCTTTAGAAATTACGGCACTAGAGCGTATAGCTACTTTATATTGTTAAGCAACTACTTAGATAGAATTTGCCGATTGAGCCGGAAAGGTACCACCTTCTCATAGAATATCAATGTGAAGTGATGACATAAGTAATGTTGTTTTGCTTCGTCTGGTAAGTGGATGGTCAGCCCACTGATTGATTGCGCTGCTATTTTCAAATAGGTCACGATATAATTATTAGAATCTGTAGATTTCTACAACGCGAATGGGACATAGGTTCTACAAGTGCAGAAGTCTACGGTCGTGTTACACGACAACACATACAGTCATGTTACACAACAGTCGGCAACACGATTGTATCAATCGATACAAATCGATACAAACTAAAAACTTATGAATGTATTTAACAGCACATTGTTATGTAATAGAGCTACTATTATTAACAGCTGTTTACATTATGATGATGAAATAATACTAACACTTACAGAGTCGACATTATCAGTTAATTAATTACTCGTAGTTCGAACAATGAATTTTCGAGAAAGAAACCTGTTGAAGAAACTTGAATACAGAGGGGATTTTAAATTCCAAAATTTATAGCATAACATAACATCATGCCTTTTATCCCCGATGGGGTAGGCAGGGGTGCACATTATGGCACTTATAGGCTCACCCCCTATTACATGGGACTCATAACATAATTAGTGAAAAATGAGTGTTCCATTGTACAGTGGCATTAAGTGCCGTAATTTATAGCAATAGTCAATTATATATTTCTAACAAGAACTTAAATGTTCAAAGGTTAATATATATGCATAGTGAATTAAAATTAGGTTTCTAAAATATAAGACATTTTTATGCTTTATAAACACAAGAACAGTGTATTCCTTTTTAAAAGGCTGGCAACGCATCTATGACTCTTCTGGTCTTGGACGCGGCGCTGATCGCTTATCATCAGGTGATCCGTCTGCTAGTTTGCCTCCCATTCGATAAAAACAATAGCTTTCCCCTACACCCGTGTCGAAGGTGGTCAGAAGAATAACTTTAGAATAATCTTACAATTAGAATTATCTACAACTAACCTGTCCAACTCATAAGAGTATCTTGCTCTCGTAGATATCCGAACCGGATTCGTGTCCTCTTCAAGATTCTCACTTACAGACGGCTCCACACTCCTATCCTCAGATCTTTCAGACTCATTATTACTACTTTCACCTACTTTTTGATATTCTGCTTTATTATATGGTAACGCAGCAGTTACAAAACTATCTTCTACAGTAAATTTAACTTCAATTTCTTGCATCTTAGGCCCCATTGTTGCTATCGACAGTCGCTGATTGACTGACTCACAGAATTTTTTAATATAACTAACTATCTAATCGTTATCAATGTGCGTCACTGTTATCAGAAGCTATACGCCAATCAGTGATGCTTCTAAGTTATTGTTGAGCTACATGTGATTATCGTTGATAATGATAATGATAATATGTAAATATGGAGCGTGTCGTATGAATTCCAGAGAAAGATACGTATACATACGACTATTCGGGTATTGAGGTTTTATTTATTTACAAAGCAGTCGAGTCATCGTATTGTGAATTTGTTATCTTCAAAAATGCTGCACTACATACCTAGTTAGTTGCTGTTATAAATATTTTGTAGTAAATGTATTTGGAACATATCTTACACGAATAGATTAGGTATGAAATTTGGGTAAAGGTACTGTTAGGAAAGGGTAAAAGTACATTTGCTCTAAATAAAATAGCATGCTAAAGGCGTCCTATTGAGCACGCTCAAAATGTTCAAAAATCGAACGCCTGTTGATTCGCCTACATGGCTGAATTCAGAATGCTAATTTTAAGTAACAAACACATATGCTATTAACGCTCAAATACTAAATAGCCACTCAATTTGAAATAGTTCTGTCACTACGAATTCTTTGTAAAATGACAGGGATGGCACGATATTTAAGTACCACATAAAGTACTACCTGCCTTTATGTTTGTGTGAATTGTGTATTAATAAAAAGACAATTTAACATCAAACTGTTTATTTCCGTAAATACGTTCTTAATATTTACGAACTTATTCTCTTACAACTTTAGAATAATATGCACAGACAGAGCAAGACAGTAGCGACAATATAATTACACATTTATATTAAAAAACATTTAAGCTGATTGCACAACTAGATAGTATTTTGAAACATTTATGATATGTATTTTATAAGTCATATTGCTGAGACGCAACCCTGCACTTCCACTTTGTAACACAATATTAATAACATAACAAAATGTACAATAAAATTCAACATTATTTAAACAATTTTATCACATAAGTAAGTAGAAATGCAGGGTTTTAGGAGTGATATAATTTCATTTGAAAATTCGATATATTAATAAGTATTTACACTACATAGTTTTGTTTCTACTGTCCTGGCTCAAGGCTCTGCTCTGCGCATACTAGTACATTACCCTTATTTAACTTACGATATATATTTTATATATAAAACGATAACCTTAACATTACAATACATAAACGATTATATACAATAAACATCACTATTTGTCTTTTCATTTATATTTACATTTATTATGTACATGACTAGATTATGAGATTCATAATTAAATAACAATTTTTAAAAATGTAATGGCTATTATTAATGTACTATTATTATGTACATAACTAAATACCCAAGTTTGAAGCGTATAGTTTTTATTTATTTACATTTCAAAGCGTTTCTACTTAGATTATAATATTTATTATACTATAACAGGTTTCCTTTCCTTATATTTGCATGAGCAACTCTTCTTTTTGAAGTTACGTTGTTTTTCTGCGAGTATTCGAGGAGGGAGCGAGAGGAATGTCTTTGCTATAAGGTATCTGCTTTCTCATTGGTTACTGAGGTGGTGCTAGACTTGTGATTGGTTGGCTTAACATTATTACATTGTTTGTTCTCCTCTTTGCTCGCATCTTCTTGTTTCTTCTCTTCGTTCTTTGGCTGGACTGTCTGTCCGTTGAGGTGTTTGAAGTCTGCTGGGTCAGTTTGCGTCTCTTTGTCCGCTGTTGGCGGTTCTGCAATAGAAAGTAGATTATGAGGACTATGCTTTTTTGTGGATAAACAATTTGAGTGGTCGCTCTATCACATTACGCATAAGACTGTTATCACAATAGGGTAGTTTACTAAATTTTATTTCAATATCCGTCTGGTATATAATATTTTAGAACTTTAGACACGTATTTTTTTTTTCTCACAAAATTAAATACTTTCGACTATATATTAATTTGAAATATCGTGTGACGTCACAGTGTGCCACATTTTGTAGCACGTTATGACGTAACAACCTCCCACTCCTAAACTTAGCGCCATTTTATCTAAGTATTGCAACTTAATTCGAGGAAATAAAAACATACGTGTCTAATATTTATTCATTATCTAACAGACGGACTAATTAGATTTTTAATTTTGATACCCTGGAAACTACCCAATTAAAGGAGTATTTTTTTTTTTTTTTTTAAATATTGCGTCACACTAGATTTTTCTCTTGTGTCGTGTGTGCGTTAACAAACATACAAGCTCATACACATGACACCCAGACCCGGAACAACACTCTGTGCATCGTACAAAGAGTTGTACCGTGCGGGAATCGAACCCGCGACCCATTGCATGGTAACCAGTTACCTAGCCACCGTGCCAACCGTGCAGTATATATTCACTTGCATTAAATTAAAAAAATGGTAATTGAAAAGAAATTCAATCCACTGAAAATGCATCATTAAAAATGTTCACCAATTTCGAAACACTCATTTAAATTCATTTTAAATTAAACTTAAAAGTCTTTTATTTAAAGTTCTATTTACTTTTGACTGGTGGATGCGGCAGCGGCAGTGCCGGAGGCGGCTTTCTGCTGTACCGGACCGGCATTATACTCTGCCGGACATTGCGCTCCGGTCGAATGAGGATTATATAGAGCTGTAACCATATTAAACAGTATTTAATTAAAATATAACATCATGCGTTTTATCCCCGAAGGGGTAGGCAAAGGTGCACTGTACAATGTAACACCCACTCCAACTTTCACTATATATGTTATAAGTCCCATGTAATAGGGAGTGACCTAATTGGCATATACCAGGCACAATTCTAGACTCCGTGCTACTAAAAGGAATCGAACCCGAGACCCTTTGCCCGGTAGTCGCACTTTCGACCACTCGGCCAACGACGCAGTATTAAATTATGTATGTAGGTACATTTTAAACGCAGATTACAATATATTAATATCATCACCCCTATTTTACTGCGTCTTAAGAGCCGACTAAGGGACTATAGCTTACTTTAACAAAGGCCGGGCAGTAACGGTCTTTGATAAATCTGAGGGTGCTATACATTTAGAGGTAAAATCGAAAAGAGACCACGTTCGACGCTATGATTGGTTGGTTCGCTGGAGCTGACCAATCAGAGTACTGAACGCGGTCTCGTATCGATTACTTTAAAGATAAAACATGCTCGTACTAAGCCTTCTGATTTTTGTGAATATTCTATACAAACCATTCTTCTTAAACCTTCTTAGAAGGTCTAATAATATAATAGAGCATTGTCACAGGTTGTGGATGTTACATTGGAAGGTACTTTACTACCTCTATATTCATAAGAAAGGGTAGAAGGTGTATGTGTTGTTATTGGACTACTTATCCATAATAGGGTAGACGACTAATTTTTATTTTAATGTCCGTCTGATAGATTATTTAAAAACATTAGACACGTATTTTTTCTTTTCTCACAGAAACGAATAGTTTCGAAGATATATTGATTTGAAATGTCGCGTGACGTCACTTCTCAGTACATTTTATACTAAGAAATGACGTTTTAGCCCCCACTCCTAAACTTTGATTCGTTTTATCTAAGTATTGTTTTATTATACGACAAAATAAAAAAATACGTGTCTAATATTTTTTCATTACCTAACTTACGGACTAATTATATTTTTAATTTTCATACCCTGTCATCATCCCCATTCTTAGCCTAGCTTTGTCTTGTATTATTTTGATAAATAAGTTTAGTTTATTTCGTAAAATCAAAAGCACTTTAAAAAGCTTTAAAAATATTTTTTGTAATAAATTCTAGTTTCTACTAACGAAATATTTTGTTATATCCCTCCTAAAATATTCATAAAAATGGAGTATTTTTTTAAGTAACAAGCACAAAATATTCTATTCACATTTTTCGAATAACAGACATTAATTGAACACCACTTTATTATTTTGTTCATAGAGAAAATGTAAAATATTGTTTGCCTCGAGCGCGTTGAAGCGAGCACAAAAAAGTATGCCTCACATTTTAATGATTAGTACAGTTTAAAAAAATTCCACATTGCTTTTTACGTAGGAAAACTAACACTTTCTAAAACAATTTAGGGATTTATAGTATTACTCGACTACCTCGTTGGCCGAGTGGAGTGCGACTGCCGGGCAAGGGGTCGCGGGTTTGATTCCCAGGTCGGGCAAAGTATTACTGGGTTTTTAAAAAATACTAAATGGTAGGACGGTGTCTGGAATTGTGCCCGGTATATGGCAATAGGCTCACCTCCTATTACATGGCACTCATAACATAAATAGTGAAAAGTGGGTGGTACATTGTACAGTGGCAAAATGTACACCTCTGCCTACCTCTTCGGGGATAAAAGGCGTGATGTTATGTTAGTAATCCTCTAGAAAGAGGAGAAAATAATGAAAGAAAAACCTAAATAAAATTGGTAAGTTTAAGTGTAAATAATTTTCCCTTCTATTGTAAATGAGAGAAGTCCTAATTTCACTTTATATAGGGCCTACTTCTTCAAAAGGTCGTTCAATCGACATAAACTTGCCTGGACAATAAAAGAAAGATCTTGGACTTAATTTTATTTTGTTTTTCCTTCCGAAACTAAGTAAGATAATGTTCACTCTGAGAAAATAATACTAAAAACAAAGTGTTTCTAGAAATAAATGAAAGCAACGGTGTTATATTTTATTTATTCATGGATTTTTGCATAAAATTGCTTGCCATTCAATTGAATCTTTTCGATAACAAAGATATACAAAAAACTTATAGTTGTCATTAAATATGAATACTTTCTTTAAAGTAGTTCTGCAAGATTTACTTTTATTATCATTTGGAGCGGCAATATCGAGAAAACAATTCACAGAATTTTGGCTATCGCCCCAACAAGTCGTAATTCTGAGACGGGTCATTACAGCAGCTGTTAAAAATATAAATTGGCGGGAAATAAAATATTGGTGGAGTATGTTATCTGTGCTCGCGTCAGGTTGTCTGTGGTGACCCGTGACATGCTCTGTGGTTAGTGACCCGCTACTGATGGTCGTCCAATGTCCCGTGAAGAGGCTGCTAACGTATTGACTTTGTATGCTATATTTTTTTTTTACTGTTATATCGTTGGCGTATTCTTTCTTAACATGTTACACACACGGCTACACATCGAGCTTTACATAACCAGTATAAACTGGACGTTAAATGTACGGAAAGATGATGCGACCCGACACCAGGATAAACTGGTTTTGTATAGATTGATGTGTGGCCGTATGTACCTCATGAGCAGAGGTTTATTATAGGTGGTATAAACTAGCATGCTTAGGAATTAGATGTTTTAGAGGGTAAACGAGCAGATCCGAATACGAGATAGTAAGCAATCGGCGCCGAGTAAGTGCGTTGCCGGTTCGTGGGGAGGTGGATTGAGCTAAGGGATATCAATATAAGTATTACTCAGTAAGTACATTCAATGTGTTAATAATACGCACCTTAGGACTAAACAAGCAGACGAGCGTGACACTGGCGCTGAGTGAGATGGTGACCGCCATGCTGGTGACCCGCAGCGGGACATGGCTCGCCGTGCCGAAGTATAGAGGCACAAACGCCAACCAGATCACACACGTCGTGTACATTGTGAACCCTGAAATGAAAGAAAATAGCTATTATAAATATTAAATAAATAACATCATGCCTTTTTATCCCCGAAGGGGTAGGCAGAGGTGCACATTATGCCATTGTACAATGTAAAACTCACTTTTCACTATTTATGTTATGAGTCCCATGTAATAGGGGGTGAGCCTATTGCCATACACCGGGCACAATTACAGACTCCGTGCTACTACTGAGATTTTTTTTAAAACTCAAGTTATACTTTGCTCGACCTGGGAATCGAACCCAAGACCCCTTGCCCAGCAGTTGCACTTGCGACCACTCGGCCAACGAGGCAGTCTATTAGTGAAGCTATTATTACAAGTGATCTTATGTCGTGATCTGATCAATTTGTTTTGTATCGTAAGAAACTGACATAACATCATAACATCACGCCTTTTTATCCCCGAAGGGGTAGGCAGAGGTGCACATTATACCACTGTACAATGTAACACCCACTTTTCACTATTTATGTTATGAGTCCCATGTAATAGGGGGTGAGCCTATTGCCATATACCGGGCACAATTCCAGACTCCGTGCTACTACTGAGAATATTTAAAAAACCCAGTAATAATTTGCCCGACCCGGGAATCGAACCCGAGACCCCTTGTCCGGCAGTCGCACTTACGACCACTCGGCCAACGAGGCAGTCCGTAAGAAACTGATTTAGTCAAAAAGGGGCAAGGGATGTTTATTATTATGTTTTTAACTATTCGATGAGGAACTCGACTAGTTTGAAATCATGAAAGAGGTTTCAATTGAAAAGATTCAGGCATCCTCGTCGTACAGTTACGTGAGTAAGCCAAAAAACATTTTTTTTTAAACCGCTGCCCCACTCTAATATTTTCTCCTGTGTCGTTGGTGCTTTTAGAAACATACAAGTTCACACATACCTACATACAAATGATTAATTTAGTATGTCTAGGAACAGGGACATTGCTGATTTGCTTCAAGCCAATTTCTAAGTCGGGTACACTAATAGGTACCCACTTACTACCGTTTTATTAATTTCTGAAATTATTAGTAACAATAAGTTTTTAGTTTTAACGTTAAATACTCTATATTTTTTTCTTGCCATTAATATTAATAATATTTCTAAGTAATATAAAAACGGTGATGCGGAAAACTCGATCATGTCTAAACCTTATACAGAAAATAAACTCAACACTATAGATAAGTTCAAGTACCTATACATAACATATCTAAATTAGAATATCTCTTAAGTTATTAGCTACTTATATGTATTATTATAATTGGCGATTACATTTAGGTAATTAATACGTAGACTATAATTGTCTATGAGCCAATCACAATACGTACTATTGGGACTAATAATTAATCTTATATTAATTACTAATACCTATTATTAGCATATTGCTATTTACTATTCACCTATAAGCCTTTAATATTACATTAATAGATATTGCAGTCACATAAACTAGATATTAATTTTAGAAACTCACACACACACAAATATCATTATTATTGATTGACTGACTGACTACTTATAAAAGCCAATATTATCGCTGGGCGCCACGACTATAATGTATAAGATGTCATATTACAAAATAACAGTTTGTGTACCTAGGTACTCCAAAAATTGTTGTTCTCATCGTAGACTCAAAACCAACCAAACTTTACTTCAAAATAATAATAAAAAAAATTCATTAATCGCCCACGACACAAGACAAAATCATAACAACGGAATAATATCTTACAGAAAAATAAAACTAAAACAAGAATGTTTCAATTCGAAAGAATCAATTAACAAAAGCCAACAACACAACACACAGCAGCCAATAAGTAGGTACACATACATATACATGCACACACCAAGCTCCCAGACCCCACACACCTGCAATCAATTTGATCTGTTGATCGATCTAATTACTAGCCCAATGTACAGCACTCGTGTACACTAAGCTTATATTGAACTACGATTTGCTTTGACACAAGTACTCATCAAGCTATGTAACCAATATAACCTGACCGTGGCATGTGCAGAGAGATCGTACAAAGAAAGAGCATAATAAACTGGTATTTTATAGCTCAATTTATGAATCACCAGTATAAACTGACCGTCGAACGTGCGGGAAGTCCCTACAAACTAAGACCAGGATAAATTGGTGTATAGCTGGATATGTTTGTACATGAATAAGCTTGTGAATTGCATTGTATGAACACAGAACAAGAGCGTAGTCACAATAGTAGTTGAATCCCCCATTATTCGTGCTTGTAATTACGTATTTCGTATTTGAAGTCTGATGAGACCTTAATAAGGTGATTTTGGAGTAATTGGTTGTTGGTGAATGAATGTGCAATTATGTTTTTCATGACTAATGTCGTCGTTTGTATTTTAAGTCCCATTCTACAGACATTTCACATTATTTTGATTCACTCAACTGTGCATTTATAGTTTATGCTCTTCGACTATATTCGTAAGACATACTGTAGAAACTAATGTACCATTAAGATTAACATTAGAATATTTTATTTCAATTATAATGCTTGTCCTAAGCAGCCTAGGGACGTCTTCAGTCGAATGAAAAAATACAAATTGCTCAATTTATTCCACTGATATGATAATGATTTATTCTGTTATTACTTCCATAAAGAAGTATAGTAATAGTCTGAGAGCTAACGAAGCCCGAAATAAGGACGATTTATGATTTTGACCTCCATCCTCGTGGACCAACTTATAACGAATTTGTTAATGATTTGTGAAGGAAATTTTGTTCCGCCATCGAAATTAATTTTGTAAATCGGACGTCAAAATTAGTTTAGACTTTAGACAAAGTGGGGAAGTATTATAAAATGAAGTGAAGATGCGATTGAATGAAATAATAATTTTGGAAGAATTTGTGTAAATAAAGGCAAACGACGATAAACGCTTAGATAATAAAATAAAACTGAGGACAATGATGAGTGACGAGCAAGAGACATTTGTGTCCGATGATATGTTTTACATAGATAGACAAATTTGTATAACTATTTAAAATTTTGACAAGAACTGATTGCCATTAGACTATATAACTTCTAATAACACTGCTTCTGTGATATCCTGTACCTGTCTACCGCAGTTGTCTAATATGCAAAGACGTAAAATGAGATGATGAGGATACAATCATTATCAAAATTATACTAACCTATATGCTTGCTCTCATTAAAAGCCTCGGGGATCTTCCTGGTGAGAACAGCGTACACAGTACAGACGACGATGAGGACGATTGGGTAGAAGAAGGCGATCATGTAGGAGGCGTCCACGTAGGAGTCGCAGACCAGCATATTGTCTTCCCTCGTAGGGTAGTGGAACATAGCCTTAGCTGGGGCCACTATCATCCATACTACCACTATCAGCACCTGGAGACAATGTACGTAATGAGAGTTATATTTCGCACTTATTCAATGATGAAATATATTAACAACGTGTTCATTTTTCTTGAGTTATATAGGGTTAGAGTCAAAAGAGGTAACAGTAAATTGATGACTCTTAGTGCAAAATTATAAGAAAACACCAATCTAAACTTGAGGTTCTCTGAACGATGGACTGTTAGTCCATCGTTCAGAGAACCTATTATTGTATGAATGCTTACAGACTGAAACGAACATTCCATCTTCGAAGTAAAATATCCTGATGCTTAATTACAAAATGATGATTATAATCTGTTACCTGTATAGATATAAGAGCAGCACATATCGCCAGCTGTGAGCTCGGGGATATGAGGATAGGTCTCTTGGCGGAGTGTTTGCTGGCATTGAAGATCCTGGAGATCCTGTTGGTCTTCGTCAGCAGAGCAGCGTACACTACCGTGAAACAGAAACCCGTTCCAAACCTGTGGACAAGAAGTATACTTTATTAAATTTAGTCAATCAGAGAAACTTTGTTTACAGTTTAGCTCAAGAACGCAACATTCAGAACATCAGAAACGGGAAAGACCTATCTAATCTAACCTATCCCTATGTGGGTCATTGTTGTAATTTTGTAAACCTCCTCAATTCTATATAGTTTCAAAAAGATCAAGAAAATAAGGGTTCTCACTTTACTAAACTTAACCATAATAATTAAGCAAGTATTATTCCATGTGTAAGTTTCAAGAACTCCAATTAGGCGCGTCAATTTAAATCTTCCGGCTCACATCAGCAGACTAAACGGCACCCAGTTAGGAAGCAAATTCGCTTAGGTCATGCAATGTAACCGGTTCGAAACTAGCGAATTTCAAAGGGAAGTTTTGGTGGAAAATCTACGAGCAGATCAGCTTCGGGCAAAATCGGGGACATATCAGTTATCTTCGGACTTCCGAGCAGGAAATCGTGTCCGGTGACTGTCGAGATACGACGGAGTGCCCCGGTTTCTATCGTCCTTGCAATTTAAACGTGCAACAGTATGAAATGTGAAGGTTTGGGTCGAAAATGGTCGGGGTTATTTCCGACAGCTTTCAAATTAGGTATTGTTAGTGTTATATTTGATGGGTTGAAGAAAAATGTTTTCAGAATAAGTTACAGTGGATAAGTTTATGAGTGTATAAGTTGAAAAAATTTGTTAGGAATGTACCTATTTATGTTCATATTATCTGAGTTTAGAATTAATGAACTAGGTGAAAGAAAATGTCCAAAACTGTTAAAAACAAATCCTTTAATCCCAAAGGGTCTACAATGTCGGAAAACAATTAATATCATTATAAAGCAATTATAAATTCATTCAAACAATTTCAAGTGAATACAAACTTTTTCCTAAACTAAATAATTAATGGAAATACTTTTTAAATTGACAGTTTAAAAAGTTATATATTTCAGATAAAAATGGTAATTGAAGTCCCGAAAATCTCGGAGAACTTAGTTCTTAATCTAATAATGAATGTTGAAGTTTTGGTTAGTCCAGTATAATCTTTAATTCAAGACTTAAGTCTTGATAAAAATATTAATGTTTAAAAATCTCTTGAGATCTATTGATCTATATAATATTTGCTAATATCATGTATGACATGGTATCAACAAATGTTGATACTGACATAATTTAGGATAGCTAAGGGATTGTACTAATAGGATATTTGTTATTAAACCTCAATAACGCCTTCTATTAAGCGCACAATCGAAATCTCTTACTTTCCTTCGATAGTATAACTTAACTTAGGTTTGTATATTGTACAGAAACCTGTCTGTCTGTCTATTAGCAGTAACTAAGAATATATGTATATTACAGAAAAATAACATTTTTATTGTAGTGTTCTTTGTAAAATAAAGGGAAACACTGCAAGAGTTACATCAACATCTTACAAAACCGTCAAACAACAGCATAAAGGACTTCGCTTCACTGCAGCCACAAAATGTTGATTCACTTCTGAACAGACTCACAAATCCATTACAAAATCCCAAGTAGAGTAACGCGATTCTTCCAAAGCACTGCGTTTCAGTGTTGTTGTTACAGAAAATTGAACTCTCTACCCTCAGTCAGAAGAGCTGATATAGTGTAGAAGTAAAGCGAGAAAAGTGGTTCTGGAGAGCATGTTAAATATAAACAGCACCTGCAGTTTGTTGGTAGCGTTGTGGGGAATTTAATCGATTATCAGAATTTTGTTTTGTATTGTAACGTACATTTTATCAACGAAGCGCTGTTTACTTATAGCTTTTTAAAAAAAAAATAAATTCTTGAGATTGTCTATACGAAGAACACTAAGAAATGTTTTGGATTAAGAAATCTTATTATTTATAGTAAAGTTCAAAAGGGTCTTATACAGAACTGGACTTACAAAAAACTATTAACTATAACAAAAAATATAAATCTAAAATTACCCCCTAAGATATTCTATTTGCTCCCACCGCCGCCCACATTCAAATTAGACTTCAAAAAGCACTCGAACAGAATCGATATCGGGCATCGAATAATAATCGGGCCGAATGATTAGATTTCTTCCATCACTAGGTAAGCGATTCCGGTGCCAACGACAGAAAATCGGTTAGTACTTGAGAAACTTGAATTCATAACTCACGTGAAATATTATGTTGACTCGAGTCTAACTAAGTGATTTACTGCATATTTGCGATAACTTTTTAAATAAAATAACTACTTTAAGTGATTGTAAAGGACTATACGTCTTTGCGTTTGTGTCATAACTGGCATTACGTTTGGCAAGAACGAGAATGTATGTGTCTATTTGCGTTTCAAAATGTGTATCGTTTATTTTAATCTAGCCCCTTTCTCTGCTTTTTTATGGCATAAGCCGGTAAACGAGCAGACGGATCACCTGATGGTAAGCAATCGGCGTCGCCCATGGACACCCGGTTCACCAGAGGCGTTACAAGTGTGTTACCGGCCTTTTGGGGATTATGAGTTTGAGGATCGTTAAGGGTTTCAGGGATTGGGGAGATTGGGGAAGGGGAGGGTAATTGGGCCTCACACTCACACGACGAAACACAACGCAAGCGTTGCTTCACGTCGGTTTTCTATGAGGCCGCGGTATCACTCTGGTCGAGCCGGCCTATTCGTGCCGAAGCATGGCTCTCCCACACTTAAATTATTTAGAAACAAAAGCAAGTAAGCGGCAAAAATGCTGTTCAAGATTGTATAATGCAGATGACACAATTGTTTTCTTGCATAATAAAATGTCAGCAAATAACTAACTACATTCAAACTAATAAACTTTATACAGATTTATGATAACTTTGAATGGAATACAATGGAGTTACATTTCTTCGCGTTTCATCTCAAACAATGGTAAGTTTTAGTTGACTTTAAAACTATCTAGTTAGATATTCTTCGTGGCTCTGGTGTCCAAACCGCCAGGGATATCACAAATTCAGGTAGAATTTAAACTTCACACATTTCTCAGACTCCAAGAAGGACGACGCGAACTTTTTGCATTGTCGTCCATGTTATTTTGTGGAATTGGATTTTTTTACGTTAGTTTTGTACAACTGATAAGTTTATTCTTTGCCTTTTTTCTATGTTAAACTTGATTTCACTTTTTTTAAGTGATATCTCACTCTCATACTACCTCGTTGGCCGAGTGGTCGCAAGTGCGACTGCTGGGCAAGAGGTCTCGGGTTCGATTCCCAGGTCGGGCAAAGTATTACAGGGTTTTTAAAAAAAATCTCAGTAGTAGCACGGTGTCTGGAATGGTGCCCGGTATATGGTAATAGGCTCACCCTCTATTACATGGGACTCATAACATAAATAGTGAAAAGTAGGTGTTACAGTGGCATAATGTGCACCTCTGCCTATCCCTTCGAGGATAAAAGGCGTGATGTTATGTTATGTTATGATGTCTCACATTCTTTGTTGTTATGTGTCGTGGTATATGAATTGACACACGTATCATCCTGTTCATTCATAGGTTATGAATTCGCGACACGTTTTTCGATCTGCTTTTGTTTTATTGATAAGTATAAACTTAGTTATTAGTTTTCTTATGATATTTTAAAGAGTTTGTCTCTTAGGAAAATTAGGAACCACATAAAGGTATTCTACATCTTCGTTCAACTTAATTTCATTAAATAAATTGCTTAAGCATTCACAAACAGACGACTGTATATTATTATGAAGACTATTTAGTCATAATAAATATGAAAACACATACATTAGTGCCAGCTCATAATGTAGTGGAAACCTAGTCGTTCATATTTAGTTTATTACCTCATTAAGTGTGGGGCCACGAGACTAGAGGTCGCTAGTGTGCTGCGGACAGCTCATCTCATTAGTTTACATTGCAGTAGATAAAATTATAGTTTATGATACAGTTTACGCTAGTTATTTTGTATTATGTAAGTAAGTACAGTTGCTATGTTTATAACTTACAATTTAAGAGGTGACAAAAACTGTAATGTTTTATGATCAGTAATAATAATAATTAGTATCACCAGTAGCAACAGACAGTCGCCGCGTCGCAGGTCGCAGAATGTTGCTCATGAATATAAGCCTCTAGCATGGCTTGAAACTAGTCGAGTTCCTCGTCAAATAATTACGTGAGTAACTCGAAAAATATAATGTAATTATTTATTTAGTATGTCTTACGAAAGTTATAATATAAATATAGTATCATTTGGACACTGCACAGTGACAAGTTCTAAAAGTATCGAATATTTTAAAACAGACTGAACATCATTAGCTCGGCAGTGGATTTAACCAAAACCAAAAATAAATTAAACTAGTTAATTAACATAGTTTTGTAAAACATCTGGATAGATTCCTAACTTAATTGAAAAAAAAGAAAAACTGTAACACAGTGTTAAGTTGAAAAAATGTCCAACATTTTCCCGCTCTCATCTTTCTCGGCGAACGCACGAGGAGACTTTAATTAACTATTTATTTGAAATAGCTTTGCCATCCGCCAAGTGTTCAGACAATTACTAAACATAATTATAGGAAAAAAATATGTTTTAATAAAAAAAATAGTATTTGTGAATACCGGAACACAAGTTATTTCTGAAGGGTGTCTTCAAGGTCCGAGTGAATAGATTGGTTATGGGTCGATGTGCTTCATCGTAGGCCGCATCATCACTTACCACCAGGCGAGATACTGACCAAACGTCGGCTCATCAAATATGAATAAATAAAATGTCGGTAAGTTCTAGTTTTTTGGCGAATGTCTTTATTTCAGATTTCAGATTTATCGCGCAAACAAACCCCGAGTCGCGGGAAGCCAGTGGATGCAGGTGGCGAGTTGTCGTTCGACGTGGAGGATTTAGGCTAGTGTTTATGGCTGTTGATGATGACGATGTTGATAATGGAACACAAGTTACAGTGTATAATGCAAAATCTTAATTACACTCTCTCACATTATGATAGGTTAAAGAAGAATGTGTTGTATTTTTTTTTCTTAATGATTTTTTGAACACTCCCTGTACCACATAACTTGGTGTACGAAATTGTGCCTGGTGTACATGACAATAAAATTCATCCCCTATTACATGTGACTCATAACATAATTGGAGAATAGTGGGTGCTGCGTCGTATCATAATGTCATTGAAAAATTCAAAGTCAGCAGGGTATGACAATATAACTACAGAACTTCTTAAATCTGTATCTAAATATATTTCTTCGCCTTTAGCTCATATTATTAATTTATCTCTACAACAAGGATGTTTTCCAGAAAGGCTAAAAAAAGCATTAATCAAACCATTGTTTAAAAAGGGATCAAAATTAAACTTGGATAACTACAGACCTATTGCACTGACTCCAGTAATCTCGAAAATATTCGAGAAAGTTATGTATAGCCGTGTCCTAAAATTTTTAGATAGATATAATATACTAGTTAGTCAACAGTACGGATTTAGGCAGAACAAGTCAACTACACTAGCAATCTACACATTAATTAAAACAATAATCAGCAATATTAATGAAAAAATACCTACATGTGCTTTATTTCTGGATCTAAGTAAGGCCTTTGATTTAGTTAACCATGATATACTCATAGAAAAAATGGAAAAGTATGGTGTCAGGGGCCCAGCCAAGGATTGGTTTCAGTCATATCTATGTAACCGAAAACAGATTACTAGAATAACCAAATTCAATCAATTAACTAACAGCCTGGAATACTTTGATTCTAATCCGGATACCAACGACTGTGGTGTTCCGCAAGGCAGCATTTTAGGACCTTTACTGTTTCTACTCTACATTAATGACCTACCAAGTTCAATAAAGCATCAATGTGTCCTATTTGCTGACGACACAACAATAATCATTAAATGTAATAATCCTCAAAACTTTGATATGGAAATTAATCAAACTTTGAATGACGTAATACAATGGCTAGATGTTAATAAACTAAAAATAAATATTTCTAAAACTAACTTACTGCATTTTAAGACATGCCAAAGCAAACCTATACGCTTTAATGTAGTATATAATAAGTATAATTAATCAGGTCAATTCATCAAAATTTCTTGGAGTTACGTTAGATGAGTGCTTCACTTGGAAGAACCACATTAATAACATTTGTAAAAAAGTTAACCAATTCGTATTTGCATTACGTAAAGTAAAAGATGCTACATCCCAACATACTTCCTTGATGGTGTATCACGCTACATCTGCTCTGTAATCCGATATGGTATTGTGGTGTGGGGAAACTCTTCCGATATAGAAAGAATTTTCATTGCTCAAAAAAAATGCATTCGGACAATTTTTAACATGCAATGGTCCGAATCCTGTAGGCCTGTTTTCAAGTCACAGGGTCTTTTAACGGTGCCCTGCATATACATCTACGAAGTTGCTAAGTTCTTGAGATCTTATCCTATGCTCTTCCAACCGAAAGACAACAGAAATAAAAGAGAGGTTACACATTTACCATATGAAATACCTGTTCCTAAACTAGAAATGTTTCGAAAAAACTGTGTTTACATGGCTCCTCTGGTATATAATGCACTGCCAAAGTGTATAACAGAACTTCCCTTTAAAAAATTCTGTAATCAGTTACGTAAATGGTTGTTACATGAATGCTTTTATTCAATTAACGAATTTTTTTATAAATACCCATGCAAAAATTTTAGTATACATCTAGCTTCTAGATATAAGCCTAAATAAGCTAGTCCATTTAAAAGGTTCCTCATGTTCCTATTCTGTAGTAGCCTAAGATAAAAGATTTATTTATTGTTTGTTATTTAGTCTTATAGGCATCTGATATTAAATGGTGTATTGTGTTTGGGTGATATGTCAAAAGTAAAGTTTATAACTGTATAACATATTAGTTGTTAAGAAAATTAGTTTTTAAGTAATTTGCATGCCGCTATGACGGCGAAACATGTTGACCTATTTTATGATTTAACAACTGTACCTACCGTGTTTCTGGCAAATAAAGATATTATTATTATTATTATAAGAAGAAGTACAAATGCATACTTATATGTACAAATAAGTATGAATTTGTACTTCTTCTTGGAATAAAAGGCGTGATGGTATATTTTATGGTTTGTTTTCCTTTACTGCTTTGAGTGCTGTTTTCCTACAAAATGTCTAACACGTACCTAGTTTGTAATCTGAGTTCGCAAATATTTCTCTGTTTGTTTTTAGCCACACAGGTTTCATTTGGCACCGGATCGCTTGTGTACATTTCTGAACTAATATTTGATATGAGAAATTTTGTGGTACTAATGTTTACATGCTAGATATGGGGAGTATTTAGTACGTAGAAATTGACTTTCCTCAAAGCTAGGTAGTGATTACAGAGTAAAATACTTTTTTTGTCTCTTCTAGTCATCCCAAAGGGTTCGTAAATGTCAACTAAGGACCACATTAGACAGCGATAAGACTTCTTAGTTGCTAAAGTTCTAAATTACATAACATAACATAACATCACGCCGTTTATCCCCGAAGGGGTAGGCAGAGGTGCATATTATACTACTGTACAATGTAACATCCACTTTTCGCTATTTATGTTATAAGTCCCATGTAATAGGGGGTGAGCCTATACCGGGCACAATTCCAGACTGCGTGTTACTACTGAGAATATTTAAAAACCCAGTAATACTTTGCCGACCCGGGAATCCTACCCGAGACCCCTTGCCCGGCAGTCGCACTTACGACCACTCGGCCAACTAGGCAGTCAAGTTCTAAATAACATTACTTAATACATATCAAACGCCTCCCAATTTGAAGTAGCGCTTAAGTATAGTTCTGTCACTACGAATTCCTTATAAAATGACAGAGATGGAACGATATTTAAGTACAACATAAAATTGAGTAGCCATTCAGTATTCGGGCGCAAGCGAATTATCAGAGTTGGTGGTAATCAAAAGTTGGTTAGTAGTTAGAGCTCTTACAATACACCTTTACTTTATAGACTTCATTAAAATAATAATAATCATCATCATCATCAACAGCCGGAAGACGTCCACTGCTGGACAAAGGCCTCCCCCTTAGCCCTCCACGTCGAACGACAACTCGCCACCTGCATCCACTGGCTCCGCGCAACTCTGACGATGTCGTCAGTCCACCTAGCGGGAGGCCTGCCCACGCTTCGTCTTCCGGTCCGTGGTCTCCACACAAGGACTTTCCTGGCCCATCTGCCGTCAGTCCTTCGAGCGACGTGGCCTGCTCATTGCCACTTTAGATTTTGTGAGCTATTAACTAACTCTTGTTCTTTGGTGAATTTCCATATTTCGGATTTTGTCGCGCAAAGAAACCCCGAGCATAGCTCTCTAGACTTTGAGCTTCTATTTCATTCATTCATTAAAATAATAGTACAGATAAAAAACGATGAGGAAGACTCACCTCTGTATGGAGCAGAGGATATCAGTCGGTCGGAAGACCAGCGCAAAGGTGACGAGGTAGCACATGAGGATCCCAGCTAGTAGGACGTAAGACAGTTCTCTGCCACTGGCTCGGACTACTGGCGTCGAACTGTGACGGACCCACACACCGCAGACAAAGCTGTTGAAGACAAAGAAACATTAGTCATAGTGTAAAAAGGATTAATTATTTTGATGGCATGCTTATAATGGGTTTATTGATTGTTTGTTTTAATTATGAACCACGAGGTGACCGGATAGTGACCTAAATTATGTAGATTGACATACCCTCTCCCTTGGACTAATAACCGAAAATCAAACGTCGATTATATGAGTGAAAGAGGCATCAAAGAATGTATGTGTAACATCAAGGGATTAGAGAATTACGTCGCATATGGAATAACATTGAACATTGTATTACAAAAACGGATTACCAAACCCTGGTACGAAATCCAAAAAAATGGAATCCATCAGTTCTAACATCGAGGTTATTACTTAAAATTATCTTATTCAAATCACGTAGCGTGTTTGAGATTGTATGGATCAATCATGGATTTATTCTTTCCGATTGCTTTCGACAATCATGAATACTAACTGTCATGAATTCTAACGAATTTATTATTTCCCCAGTTTCGTCTTCCGTGTCTTTAATTGTAATATTCTTTACTTATGCGACTTTGGCATACCAAGCAGTCGCCAAATCTAAATTGGAATACATAATTAATATTGTCTGACGTAATTTAATAACTTCATTAATATTCATTTCTATTGGAACCATTGCAGAAATATCAGCAGTTGTGTCTAAGGAAGAGTCTGGTTCTATATTATAACTGCTATAGTACGTTTTAGGTACTTTAATTTTACTGAAAAGCTTCGAAATTCTTCTGCAGCATCAATGACATAACTTGGTCCACTTCCAATAAAATCTTAAAGCATTTCTATCTAGAGAAATTCATTTGAAATTCAATAAGTTATTAATAAATTCTCGTAGCTAGCTATGACGAAGTTAATCTCAATTTCGAGTATGCGACTGTGGTTTACCAAACCAAACTTTATCTTGAAACTCAGTGACAAATGGAACAGCTGACTGGTGCGAATGTTCAGAATGTTGAATGTAATATCAGCGTTCTAGTCAAGCTCTACTGTTTAAATAAAACTCATTTAAAGCTGCAGCAATGTTACCAAAATTTGGCATTTGATTCCATATTGCATTGTGTGCACTTTAATTTTCAAAGTTGTTTTCGAAATGAGCTGTTTGGTTTTTAGGAAAAGTTATAGGAATATTGAATAATGACTGGTTAGAAATACTAATTAATTATGTCAATAACATTACAATAGATCAGATAATAATGTCCTGGTGTCGGATTAATTTTTTTGTGTTTTTGAATGAACAGTTTACTAGGTATTGGAATTATTTATTCAAACATAATAATTATGCTGTTGTGTCGTTATTTGTAATGAGATACTGATAATACTTAGTTTACGTTTATATAAATATTTGTCTGTTCCATTAAGTTCTTGTACTTCATGATAGAACACTTTATGTTATTGTATACTTACGCGGTCAGCAGGATTCCAACGGAGGAGAAGGACATAGCACCGATGGCCCAGGCGGAGTCAGGCCTCAGGTAGGCCTCAGGGATGGGACGGCATTCAGTCTTTGTGGGGTTTGGCAGAGTGCCTCGTGGACACACCGTGCATTGGGTCTCTTCGATGGACCTTATCTGTGAATGAGAATTGCATTAGAAAATGAATAATGAAACTGATCATGGTTTATCGTGTCTTACGTTAATTTGAGGTAGTGAAGGAAATTTTCAAGAAATGAAGATATTTAACAAATGCTGTAAGACCCTGAGGAAACATTTGCTATTGATATCTTTGATAAAGTGGATAGACGACTTCATAAATGTCGCAAAGAACCTCTGGATACAAGTTTCTAACTAGTCGATTTGGAAGGTTTATCAGTGAATGTCTTATAGCCGATGTGAAGATGACGCATAGTCTTATAAATGAGACTACTTAGTCATTAGACAGGAGAGCTCAGTACCTCGTACTGCGTGCAGTTGAAGCAGTGCCAGCAGCAGCTCTCGCCCTCGACGTACTGCTTGGCCTGGCCCAGCTCGCACTCCGCGCTGCACACCGACTCCGGCGGGTGCCGCTCACCCCACTTGAACTGGATATCTATTAGACATTGTGATGGGTTAGATATGTATAAAGTAGATAGAATGAAGTGTTAGATTTACCTAAAAATAACTCTGCTGTGCAATTAGAAGTAGTGCTACTAGACGTAGCTGCAAGGTTGTGGTTTTACTTTAGTTCATACGATTAGCTAAATGTCAATTTCAAAGTTCGAGGAATTCATATAAGTTACTCATTTCGAAGTTAAGCTGTATGTATAGGATCGGGAACTTTTTAAAAAAAATCTCTTGTCTCAATCAAAATAAAAATCTTCGTATGTTTGCTCTTACCATCAATATCCAGTTTCAGTTCCCCGTCTAGGTACTCCCCAACGTTGACCCACCGGTAGACGCCTCTCTTGACCTGCTTGAAGTGCAGGATATTGTACCGAGCTGGTCCATCTCCATTGCCGTCGAAGTGGAACTGGTCTCCGGTCAGACCTTGAGAGGGAATAAAATAATTATAACTTTTTTGAATGTTCGTCTAAAATATTCTTTTCTTACGTAATTTTGTTATAATTTTTGTTCATTGTCAACATTTTCATTATAATGCAGATTGGTACACGTGATTAACATAATTTTTCTCCTTACTTTGGTATAATAAAATGTGACCTGGTTTTTACTGACCATATTTACATAGATTTGGAAAATCATATTCAACTGATTATGTTCTGGGGTCGAAACAATTAAAAGGAAACTCGCACGCTGCTCATGACGAAAAGCCCTTCAGTGGTTCGAAACTAGTAGAGCTTTTCTCAGTATATTCACGTGAGTAGCCCGCGATTTTTAGTTAATGTTTATCCCTACTAACCAATAATCGATGAGTTCAATTGGTCTTAATTAAACAGGAGAATAATTAATCGAGACTTTAGGGCACATTTAATGAACTAATTATTTACGAAGTAGGTTTTAAGGAATTTCATGTGCTCGAATTAGGGTGTATCTTTAGCAAACTTGATTAAATTTTCAATAAGTTGAAAATAATTTTACATAATATTTAGTATTATAATATTAACGTGAAGTAAATAAATAAAAAGTAACTTTATAACAATTTTGCTCTTGAATAACACTATAGTAGGTAACCATCACCAGCACCAGTTCACAAACTCCCTTTTCTTCTGATAATTTTTCATATTAAGGTTTATAAAATTATATAGAAAAGTATTGACAATGTTTTCCCTATAAACAGTAACAGTTAGAATTTAGCATATTATTGGCATTTGGCTGCACCGGCTGTGGAGCCGGAGCTCACACGGGTCGTGGCGACATTTGGTATACAAACATATATAATATTGTACCAAGTGAAATCAATAGCAAACTTTCTTCTCGGCTTATATTATGTGTATAAAGTTTTGCGTTTCTTTGGGATGTTAGTCTGGACCCTTTAAGTCAGCATTTGAAACATGTACTCCGTAAACGATGCAATTAGCTGAGTTGTGTGTTTGTGTGTGTGTGTGTGTGTGAGAGAGAGAATTACATTCTTTCAATGAGTTTTGTAAGACCCTGACTTATGGACTAAGTATTTGGCAGAGCCCTGTAACTACCGCTTTCTGATAAACCCCTTTGAACTACGATCTCCAATTCGCCTGCCAAGCGTGTAGATTATAGCAATCCCCTTATGTAAGAAAGCCATAGTCATCAGATGAATAAATTTTTAAAACACATGACATAAGTTGGTACTCACCGGTGAAGTTGACCTTCCGAAGGTATCGCAGCAGGTCCGCTCCGCTGGCAGGCCGCATGGCATCACACAGCCCTGGCCGGCCACCACACACAGCAGCGTGCATGTCCCTGAGAACAAGTTTGAATATGATGAACGATGCGATATTTGAGTTTGTCTTTTAAATAATATAACATCGTCTTTTATTCCTATCACTTTACAATGTAACACCTAATGTTTACTATTTATGGTTTAAGTCCCATGTAATAGAAGGTGAGCCTATTGCCATATACCGGGCAATATACCTGGCACAATTCCAGACTCCGTGCTACTACTGAGAATTTTTAAAAACCCCATTAATTTGCCCCATCTGCCAATCGAACCTGATCAAAATCGAGACCCCTGATCAAAAGTATTAATAAAAACATTCTTAAACTTTTGCGCACGTTATGTAAGTAATTAATTCGTCAAACACCAAGCGGTCACCGGTGACCGCGACCTATTGTTCTTTAATTGTGTCTATAAAACCGGTACTCGACGAGTTAAGGTGAATATAAACTTTGCAAGTCAGATTTTATTTCACCCATAAAGAGACATTTAGTTTTACTGTTAGTAATTGTAGGAATCTTGATAAAGTTTTGTCGTAAATATTTTTTTTATGGCATAAGCTGGTAAACGAGCTGACGGATCACCTGATGGTAAGCAATCGGCATCGCCCATGGACACCTGAACGCCTTTTGGGGATTAGGAGTTTGAGTATCGTTGGGAATTCAGGAATTGGGGAGATTGGGGAAGGGGAAGGTAATTGAGCCTCCGGTAACCTCACTGACACGACGAAACACAACGCAAGCGTTGCTTCACGTCGGTTTTTTGTTGATTTTGATTTGATTTTGATTTACTAAAACTTCATTTATCATCATCATTTTGAATGCACGGTAGGCGCGGTGATTGGGCAACCGGCTGTCGCGCAATGTGTCGCGGGCTCGATTCCCACACGGAACAACTCTTTGTGTGATCCACAAACTGTTGTTCCGGATCTGGGTGTCATGTGTATGTAAACGTGTATGTTTTTAAACGCACCCAAGGAGAAAATCTTATTATGAGGCAACGTTTTTATAAAATAAATTAAAAAATCATCAATTGTGTCCTGATCGATTAGTTTTGGCCATAGCAACCTACCTCTGCCTGTCGATAACCTCGCGTGGTCTCAGATAATTGATTTAACATAATACTTTTAGAATAATAGCCTACCATAGAGAACATCTCATTATAACAATCCAATTATCTTCTTCTCTCTATGAAAACTCATCGATTTAAAAGAATCTGCATGCATATTCTAATCTTTTCAATAGAATATCCACATTCATTTCTTTTGCTGACAATCCAGAATATCCAGCTCTTCAAAGGTAGGGTACGACGAAATGGGAGCACTTTGTATGAGCTGAATACATCGAGGGCGGACATATAATGCGCTCTTTAAAAACTGCATTCGAAACTCGAGAGCTCCCACAGTTTTGTTAAGATGGCTCATTTTCGAGTGTACGTGAATTGGAGCAGTTAGACAATGGATTTTAGTTTTTAATTTTTTTAACTTTCCAAGTGATACGCAATTAAGGTGCTATGTAGAAAATCTTCTAGTTAAAGATGTTGTATTTAGATGGTTAGAATTAAGGGTGATAACGAAGTAAATATTTTCCTTGGCCGATAATTTGTTTTCGGATTCCAGAAAACTAATATTGAGATTTTTGCAGTCTTTATCATTTTTTTTTTCAAGTAATGTGCTATTTAGTCTCTGGATTCTAGAATAGGGTATGGTAAAAGGTGCAATGTGGATTAATGAGGGAGACGTTTTGTTGTTAGGAATAACTTTAATTGAGTGTCTTAATAACTAACTTACACTACTCACTTATAGGGCGAGGTGTCACACACACTACAAAGGATCACCCCTTAATTACATGGGACTGGGTAAGGCATTGAAGGTTCGTTTATATTATGTGCACTTCTACCGTTCAGGCATTAAAAGATGTGACGTTATGTGTATAAACATTACATAAGTACTTATACCTTATTATCCGATATATATAAATATCGAGTTTTATTTCTATAAATATAAACTGATTGATGCCTTTTCTTCGCTGACGAGTGAAGATTATATTCTCTTGGATTAACTCTCTCCTTACTGAAATTATTTATGTCACTGTCAGAGTATTTATAGCTTTGATAAGTCACAAATTATGAGGACACATAGAAAACAGAGTGTTTATTAAAAAAAATACAAAATCATGGACAAGGTCACATGACCGTGCAATAGGTCTAATGGTCGCAATATAAACCGCTGAAGGTGATGGTTTTAAGTTTAATCCTTAATTTGGATACGGATATCTACTAATAAAAAAACATTTGAAAAGTATCATAGAGTTGACGATAAAGATTTGAAAGCAGGTTTACTTTTTTATTTTTTTTGTTTTGTTTATTTAGAAACTCAACAGCCTATCAATAAAGTTACATGAGTTAGGAATACACATCACACTATCAATGCACAGCCTTATGCAGTAAAGTATGCCTTTTTAAAAGTAAAGTCGGACAACTTACTATACTTATAGCCGTTTTCACTAACCATTCCTAAATCAACTCTTAACTAAGACTTACTTAGCGTAAAGGAACTCTTAAACTGACTTTTTGCTTGTACCTACCTTTAATTGTTATTTACAGGTAGGTGAAAATCGAAATGTCCTTAAGTATTACTTATATTAGATAGGGGTTCCTTAGAATTGAAGAGAGCTTGGTAAAAACAGTACCTATAAACTTTTTAAATTAAGCTTGCAAGATACGTATAAAGAACTAAAAGCAATCCAAGAAGTAGAGGTATGATATTATCTGGCCTGAATCCAAACGCACATAGGTACATACATTGTGATTTAAATAGATATTAAATATTTACTCAGTGAGATTGGAAATGCTTATAATTCAGGTAGCAGCTAAGTATTCATTCATATTTAATATTGGACGGTATTTTTATTTTTCACTAGGTGTATCCCGCGTCTTCATATTAGCATTAAATCTATCGTGTTATACCTACCTATGTCATCGAAATAAATAATCTTAAATTTTTGAGTTGTATGGGTAAAAGTAATAGTTATTTTATCACAGTTAATCTATATTACTGCATCTAGAAACACACGAAATGTTTATTATTGCCATTATATACAGATTACTTTCGCAATCATAGATGGTGCTAAAGTACATTTTTGAAGTGACGCATAAATTTGACACAATAGTCACTATACCCGTTTTCTCCAGAAGCTAAAAAAAGGTGAAACTTAACGACATTTTGGTTTTCACCACCTATAAGAGATACCTGACGGCAAAGGTAAAGTTTGAAATGATGAAATGAAATGATATTTAGTTCTGAAAATAGATTTTAAAGTAACACTTTTATACGTTATTCTCTAAATTACTAGATGAGGGCCAGGATTTCCTAACCCTACCGAGAAGAAACTTTAAGTGCTTCCTCATACTAAGTAACTCCCAGTTACTAAGTCGCTGGTGAAAACGGCTAAAAGTCACTTCACTAGAGGTGTACTAGTATAAAATGAATGAAAAAATAGTAAGGTTTTAACTATTATTAACTATTGTAAGAATAACATTTAATAATCAACCTCCTGTTCTATAATAAGAGGCAATTTCACACAATCATAGCTACGCCAATACTGCCAAGCGTTGAGTACATAATTCCACTTCTTTGTAATCTAAATTAAAATCAACATTCATTTGACCGTTTCTACTTCTATACCTACACAATAGATCCAATTTTTACCTTTTAGTTTTCATAATTATCGCGATAAAATATTTTTGTTAAATAAAAGAGGGTTTTTTGTACTCGTAGGTACTATTTCTTTTGGGAAATAATTTGGTAAGGTAAGTACTATTCTTCATATAACTGTTTGTAAAGAGAAGTTAGCACTTAGCTTAGTAAGTGTGTTACGTAAGTTGAGATATTAATATTACGTTTTTCTAATGCTAATCCTTATTAATAAGACTATTTGATATAATTTTACGTCAGTGCACTTTAGAGTTATTTGGCCGTTTTTACCAACAACTCCCATACTATCTCTTAACTAACTAAAAGCCACTTAGCGTGAGGTAGCACCTAAACTCTTTACTTATTCTGTTAGGTGTTACTTATAGGTTGGCGAAAATCAAAATGTTCTTAAATTTTACTGACTTAGTTTAGAGGTTTCTTAAAATTTACTGGAGTTTGGTGAAAACAATCACTAATCTCCTAACTCGTTCGATTCTATATTTCTTTTTTTTTATTTAATATGACGTACTTTTATATTTATAATATTAATATATAGGAGTCTTAATATTACACTTCTTATTGAAATAAATAATTTAATAATTTTAAATAATTTAATAATTATTTCTTTTTATATTTGATGGACCGACGTTTGACCACTACCTCACCTGGTGGTAAGCGATGGTGCGGTCTACGAAGGAGCACGTCGTCCCATAAGCAACCTATTCACTCGAGCTTTAAAGACACCTAGGTTATACCCTTCAGGAAATACAGACGCTGGCAAAGAATTCCATTCCTTAGCAGTATGCATAAGGAAGCTTGATGCGAAGCTCTTCGTGCTTGTGGGACATCTACCATGAATAGGTGACGCTTCGCCGGTTATAATAAAGACACACACAGACTAATGTTCCTATTGAACTTGTAACTAGCAAATCCACGATTAATTCCTACGACTCGCCTAAGGGCTGCTGCAATTTGGTAGCTAACCCTTTAATGGAAATACCGATTATTTGCCCCGGGCTCGAATTAGTACCGGGCTTACCCCAATCGTATACATAATTACAACGATTAACAGAATTACTGGGAAGTTACTGTATTATAAGAATCTGTGGATATTTCTAGTAATTACTTATTTAAAGAGTTTTGACTTAAGCCTGGACTCCTTGAAGTTAGGTCCGTAAAAATTGTTTGAGTTTGGTTGCAAACGACGTAGCATTGTTGTTATCTCTAATGCTTTAACTAACTAGTGCGATCGACTGTCGTATATTTATAATACATAAATTGCGAGAATTAATTAAATCTAGTAATTAAAAGAACATCAGATAATAAATT